AACCCCCTAGCAGAGTGTGCAGCAGCAGTCAAGCCAGGCAGCCAAATGAGAGTGAGGCTGGGCCCAAGAGTATACACACACTTGAGGCAAAAACACTGTTTGTGGTTTAAATAGGTATTTAATTCATACAGAGATTAAGAATAGTCATTCAGTCCATATATCAGTATCCAGTTTATCAAGTCCAGTTATCAAGTCCATTAACAGTAAATACAATGTCTTTATCTGCTTGTATATCTTCTTCTTAAGATACCTTTCTCTCAAGTACTAACGCTGAATCCACAGCTCACCAGTAAACAGTCCTTGTGTTCAGGTGAAATGGTATCTGGCACAGTAGCCTCCAAGGTAAGCAGATAGACGTTCCAACACAGTAGGCAACAGACCAGGAACAGTAACCAGGTGCATCCAGAAGCTGGACTCAGACAGTTGCATCCAGAAGCCGGGGCTATTACGTTTCCCCTCCTACCTATATGGCTGCCTGCAACCGCACCCACAATGACATTGCAGTTTCTTGTGCTTAAAGCTACATAGCACTTAATCCTAGGTTTACATATTTATTCAACCAAACCAGTTGGAGTATCCATATACCCAACATTGGCCATCCCTAGCATTTTCTGTTTATTCTTCAAGAGGCTATGGCCTCCGCTGGGGTGGCTATGGATTTCAAGCCATCATCCATGTAGAAGCCGTGTTCTACAAAGTGTTTAGCTTCTGCTCCATATTTGTCTTCTCCCTCTCAAGCAGTACGTTGGAGACCGTAGTTCGCAATAGCAGGGGAAGAGCCATTGCCAAATACATGCACCCTCATTCAGTATTTGGAATTCCGTTGGTCATGCTGATCATCACTAAACCATAGGAAATGGAGGTAGTTGCAGTGATCTTCCTGTATGTCGGCCATAACTGCTATGACTTCTTTTCTAAAGTGGATAAGCACCCCAAGGAAACTGTTTGTGAGGTCAGGTCCTGTCAAAAGGGCCTTGTTTAGAGAGTGGCCTTGGAACTGTGCACTGGTGTCGAAGACATATTTGGCCTGGTTTCTGTGGATGGTACATTCCAAAGAATGGCAGGTACCAACATTCTTTGTCAGGTTCCAGGGGTGGGGCTGGCTCAACGTGTCCATTCCTTAGCATTTTGTCCAAGAACGCCACCATATGAGCTTTCATCTCTTGCTTCCAGGTCATGATCCATCTGAGGCTGAAGAGGTGGGAGAGCGCATTTTTCTGGTTGTTTGGCAGGCGTTGTCTGGGAGTGCGAAAGGGTAGTGGCATGACCCAACTACTGGTTGCATCTTGTTGAAATTCCTTATCCATGAGCTGAAGGAATCTGTTGTCTTCAATGGACAAAGCTAAGTCATTATCTTCTCTGGTAGTCTGGAATAGTGCCTCTCCCAAGAGGTGGTTTAACTGTCAAAAGCATGAAGTGGTCTTGGCATGGCATCAGGTGAGATGGTCTGCCATTCTTGAGAACGAAGGTAGCTAAAGCAGTGGCCTGGGTTGGGGCCTGTAGGTGATCGATACAGACTATGCCTATGATCCCCCAACCTAGTGGAGATTTGATGGCCACTGGGCCGTCTAGAGGGCCACCGACTGACTCGGAGAAGAGAAAGTCATGAGTAGGATCTCAGCCTCCGGATCTAGAGCAGGGAAGTGATGAGCCAGGTGCTGTAGGTGAGGCATGCTACTTATGACCTCAGGTGTTGCGATTTGAGTGCGGCCGTTCGAGATCCCATCACATTCAAATACGGGCAGTAGTGGGAATCGGGAACTTCCATCCAATGAATCTATGCATAGTCCAGTAGCTCTCCTCCCCACCATGCTTCTTGGTCCATGGCACGTTGATACAGTGAAGTGAAGTTCATCCTGTTGCACCGCAAAGAGTTCGAAGAATGCGGGTCTGGACAGGGTGCAGGTGATTTGAGTGTCTATCAGCACGTACATTTTCAAGGCATCTTCGGGGCGTCCTTCAGGGTACACTTTGGCTAAGCAGATGGGAAGACACAAACAAGGGTGTGGTGAGTCGGCGCACAGTGCTGTGCAGTTGACACTCATCCTTGGTTTTGGTTGCAGTTTGACAGTCTGCCAAGGAGCCCTATATGCTTCTGTGTTACATTGAGGCTCCTTGTCCGAAGGAGGGTTACGAGATATCTGCAGTGGTGACCCGGAGTTCGGATGCAGCGTGGTCAGGTGCTGGTCTCTATTGTATAAGTAGCATTGCATCTTGGCTGTGCAGTACTTTACACTCAGGCAGAGTCCTTCCACCTTCTTTCAAAAACTGTGGCATGGGAAATTTGGTTTTCAGTGGTGTCAGTGTTTAGGTGCAGTCTGCAGCAGCTTCCTTCTCAATTCTCTCTTCTGACTATGGGAGTGCTGTTCCCACTTCAGGCTCCTTCTACGAAGCATTTGCCAATTATAGAAAAAAGACAGGCATGTTCTTTACTGTTACTAAGCAACTCAAGCAGGAGTCACAATAGTTGGGTTTGTTTAGGGATTGGAATGCCAAGCGGATGGATGGATGGATGGATGGATGGATGGATGGATGGGTACTTCTTTTTCACATTCTCCTTGCTGACAAAAAGTTTCTTTTTACCCTGAGTGCAAGCAGACACAGGGCCCATTTGGGGGATGAAAGCAAAGTCTCCAAAGCAATTTCATGTTTCCTCTCAGGGTTTGGAATTTGGGGGTGTGAAAATCAGGGCCCCTCCAGATTCAACTCTTGGCAGCACAACCAGCATGGCGGGTTGTGAGAGATGAACTATACTTCCTCTCTCTCAGGAGCATAAGTTTCCCCATCCTTTTGTAAATTATTGTTTTTAAAATAATCACATAGTCTTTCCAAGCAAGCATTCTTCAAAGCACTACAGTGAAATTAATACAAACCAAACCTGTACACAGTAAAACAATGTTTAAACAATCCATGTTCAGTAAAAAGGGAGCTGGAGGACTTGATGAGAAACCAGAGAGCTGGGGTGTGTGTGGCCATGGAGGGCATGGCCAGGGATGGGCATGTCCATAGTGGACATGACATGGGACTCATGTCAGGGGCACCTGTGGTGGCCAAGTGCTAAGGCAGGACTTCCCTGAGACCCTCACACACTCTTATTATAATCTCCTTCCTTCCTTCCTTTTCTTCTTTTTCCTTCCCTTTTCAATCTCCTTTCCTTATTTTTCCTTCCTTGCTCTCTTCCAATCTTCCAATCTTCCCTTCTTTTTATTTTTCTTTCCTCTTTTCCTTTCTCCTTTCCTGCCCCTTCTTGCATGCTCAAACGCATGTTTTTAGTTTGTTTTGATAGCCCTCTGCCAGCAAAAATGGAGCCCGGGGGTGGTGGTGTGTGTGCACTCCATTTTCGCTAGCAGAGGCACTGCAATCCGGTCCTTTGCTGTTTCCAGGCCGGTCCCATGGGCCAGATCTAAGCACCCTATAGGCTGGATCTGGCCCGCAGGCCTTGAGTTTGACACCCCTCATGTAGAGAAACTTATTCTCGTGAAGTTCAGGAATGGATTTCCGATCAGTGGTGGGATTCAATTTTTTTTAACTATCGGTTCTGTGGGCGTGGCTTGGTGGGCGTGGCAGGGGAGGATACTGTAAAATCTCCAGTCAGAGGTGGCATTTGCCGGTTCTCCAAACTACTCAAAATTTCCACTACTGGTTCTCCAGAACTGGTCAGAACCTGCTGAAGACCACCTCTGATCCAGATACCTGTTCGTTGTCAATTTTTGAAATGTCAGCATGTTCTAAAAATGTGACGATGGAGCAATGTGTTTCTACATGGCTTAGATTTAATTACAAAATGTAACTGACTTTATACTGATACCACACAGATCTTTTTTCCCCTTAATTTCTTTTTCTTCTTTTATCTTTAGTCCCTGTAATGTATGTAGGTTTTTTCCCCCCCTTTTTTTGAGGCACAATCACTGGTATATCTTTTTGTTGTTGTTATTTATTTGTTATGATGAAGCTTGATTTTAACTGATTTAAAAGGCCTGGCCCCATCTGGAGCTCCTACATAAGCTTTCTCAGGGTATAGCAATGACATGGAAAGCTTAGCGTTGTGGAAAAAAATGAAACGGAGCAGCAGCAGGTTACAGTTAGATTGTCTGTGGGTGATAAAAGTTGAACTGAACCTACTGCATGACTGTATTTAATCTCTGTTCTTCCTTTGCAGCCCTTGGCAAATGTGCAAGAACCAGATCCATCCTTATTTCCTTTCTCAAGGTCCCTTTGATGTTTGCCTTTCTATACCTGTTTGTGTGCTCCCTTGATGTGCTGAGCTCCGCTTTCCAGCTGGCAGGAGGTGAGGTCACCCTGATATTTGCCTGCCTCTCCTCTTCTCCTCTCCAGCCTTTCCTCCCTAATGGTCCCTCAGAATGAAAGTGCTACATGTCCTTCTGTGTGGGTTCCATCCACCTCCTGTCTGTCTCTGCTGCTGGTGAGGGTGCTGTTGGAGTTGGGCTGTAAAGAAAGAGGCGGCTAAGGGTAACACTGGGATATCACTGGAAGGCTTTGTTGTAGTGGAAGAAATGCATGGAGTGAGAAACATGGAAGTTAGGAGGAGTGTAACTGCTGTAAGGAAGTATTCTTGGGTAAAAAGAAGATAGACAAGATTTATTTAGGGAATAACATGGTGACAGGAAAACATTTGTTAAGTCCATCTGCATTTTGAAACCTGAACATATTGCCCTCCATAGTGGAAACAAGGCTAGTCAGTCAGGGAAGTGGTGTTGTTGCGCAGTCCAAGTCAGAAGATGAAGAGAGCTGAACCGAGAGTAGAAGGAATGATTGAAAGCCCTGGGAGTATGAGTAGGAAGCATGTTATCATGCAAAATAAGTCTTTTGGACAAGAAAGGAGATCAAGGTGCAGAAGACACCTTGGTTAATTATTTCCCTATCAATGGGATCAGTAAGTTTATTAGGGAAGAAAGCTGGTGTGTGTAAAGTTGAACTTCAATAATTTTACTAGAGATTCATGTGACCCTTTCCCTTCCCTCCAGATGTTTTTTGGTACCTAATGGGAAGTCCATAATCTCTTCTCCAAAAGGGTAAATTTTGTTCAGGAAAGGAAAATGTCATTTCTGATTAGCAAACCCTTTGAGGCCAACCTCATTTGATCAGCTCTATCACACATCAGCTAGAGTGTATGGCAATAATTCTACCATATTTTATTAATATGTCCGCTCTTTCTCCTCTCCTCAAATTTTCAGGATCTCTTTTTTTAAGAATTTCAATTAAGCACCACAGAACTAGCGGAAATAAGAAATTGCTTATGATATCAGTACTGCACACAGAGAAGCCAACTTCGTGTTTTCTTCATTTTAGCAAAAAGAAAGAGCTTTTAAATGGTTTTATTCATAGACTTCCTGTAGATTTCCTCATCCCATTTCCAGAAACAGCTCATTCTAAACTGGAATCTTTTAACTGGGGAAATAATGCACTAGCTATACGTTCAGCCAGTAATTAACAGACTCTAACTAAAACCTGCTTTATGAGTAAGCTGGACCAGACTTGATGCCATATGTTCAGATCTGTTTTGCTAAACTCTCTGCTTTTTCCCCCCTTCCAGGGAAAGTAGCTGGAGACATTTTCAAGGACAATGCTATCCTCTCCAACCCAGTGGCAGGGCTTGTGGTAGGAGTCCTTGTTACTGTCCTTGTGCAGAGTTCCAGCACCTCCACATCCATCATCGTGAGCATGGTTTCCTCAGGGTGTGAGTAACACTGATGGACTCAAGTCAGAATCTGGCTACATGAATATACAAAAGAAGTGGCTCCTCTGACCCCTTGCCCTTTCCCATTTCCTAGTTGATTGTGGCATAACTGTGTAACCTTAGTAGTTCTTCTTCTTTTGTATCAGGAGTGGGAATGTTTGACCTCCAAATGTCATTGAACTACAACTCCTAGTACTCCCAATCAGACAGCCCTAGAGTTGTGCCTAGTTGTAAGAGGTTCCAGGTGTCCCTTTTGTGGTAATATTTGTATTGATAATGACATGGGGGTGGGGTGGGGCTAATAATAAAGTAATTGCAATTGTGGGGAATTAATACGTTGACATGTCTGATGGAGATATACATAGGACCGGAGAGGAAGAGTTTGGCCAGGAGGAAAAATGTGCCTAAACTCTCATTCTGTTTATGATGCTATGGTGGCATCTTCAAGCCCGGGTTCTCACCAGGTGCTCTTTGCCCTTTGCTCTCTAGTGCTGGAGGTAGGCTCAGCCATCCCCATCATCATGGGCTCCAATATAGGGACCTCAGTCACCAACACCATTGTGGCACTTATGCAAGCTGGCGACAGAAGCGAATTTAAGAGGCAAGTATTATTGTGTGGGAGGAGGGAGCCCAGGGACTGCAGATGGAGGCCAAGAATGTAGCCAGCTTTTGCCCTGGAGAGAAGGCCAGTTGTGTGATGGGCACAGCTGGATGAAGAGCAGGAGCAGGTTGGCCGAAGGAGAAAGTATTCATCAACTATAGGAGGATGCCAGGAGACGGTTGAGGTTGGAGGCTGCTGGGGCTACAAAGTCAGGAGTAAAGAAGAACAAGCATGTCTTAAACCAGGAGTAATTAGTAACCCAGGTAAGCAAAACAAATAGGCAGAAGTGGGGCTCAGAGACATTTCTGCAATACAGGCAATTTGGATGGATGCTCAGGTAGGACCCATCCATATACCTCGTGCCGCAACTCCGATATTTCACAACAGCAAAAGTTTCTCTGTTGTCTAACAGGGCCTTTGCGGGGGCCACGGTGCATGACTGCTTCAACTGGTTGTCAGTGCTGATTCTGCTGCCTCTGGAAGTGGCCACTGGCTATCTGCACCTCATCACCAAAGTTGCCGTGGCAGCTTTCAACCTGCGCAGTGGACGGGATGCACCAGAGCTCCTGAAAGTAATCACGGAGCCCTTCACTGGCCTTATTGTCCAGGTGGGTGTGCTGTGCCAGGTGGAGGATTATGACACTGAAGATCTGGAGGGTACCAGCTTGGGAAAGGCTAATCTAAACACAACTGCGCCCTCTTGGTCTTTCTCGTGAGAGATCCTTCTCGGTTTTCTATACAAGCGGTCCTCAACTTATAACCATTTCTTTAATGAAGTTACAACAACACTGAAAAAAAGTGTCATAGGACCGGTCCTTGCACAGCATTCCCATGGCCACACAATCAAAATCCAGGTGCTTGGCAAGTAGCTCTTGACTGCCAGCAACGGTTGCAGCATCCTGGGGTCAAGCGAGGGCCAGTTGCAACTTTCCCAGATGGCTTCCAACAAGTAAAATCAAAGGGGAAGTCGGTTTCACTTAACACTGCAATGGGTCACTTAGCATTCGCAAGGATTCACTTAACGACAGTGTCCAAAAGGTCATAAAATCAGGCACGACTCATTTAATGGCCACCTTGCTTAGCAATGGAAATTATGGACCCAATTGTGGTTATAAGTTGAGGATTACCTATACAGTAACCTTTGGAGGTGGGGATAAGAGAGGTATTTTCCACTCTGGCCACAATTTAAGGTGTTTTTTTTGTTCCCTTCAGCTGGATAAGTCAGTGATCCCAGGGATTGCCACAGGCAATGAAAGCTTGCATAACAAAAGTCTGATTCGGGTGTGGTGTGAAGTGCCAGCTCCGCAGGTGAGAATTGTGCCAAAGGAGAGAAAAGATAGAATGGGGAGGAGGGAGGAATGTAAGAGATAACAGCAAATACCATGCAGAAGATGTTCCAGATTCCCTGCCCTATCAAGAGGCCACTACTGAGGAGGTTTCTTTCTGATTAACACAGTATATATACTTCAGTTGGTGGAACCTCTAAGGCAGGGGTCTCCGATCTTGGCAACTTTAAGACTTGTGGACTTCAACTCCCAGCAAAGCTCTAAGGGTAACCTTGTGCTAATACTACTCTTAGTTCTGGCCCTAATCTGAGACCTAGCACTTGGATAGCCAACCTAGTCATAGGTAATCTTTCAGGTATCCTAGGTGTGGGAGAATTCCAATTGCTTTGGGCCCTTTCAGATTATTGTCTTTAACATCATGCCTTTCTATAGATATGCATGAATGGAAAACATTTTGAAATGCAGTTCAGCCACTGATGAATTGAGTGTGCCTTTTCTTCTAATAGAGTTCCATATTGGAATTGGAATATGTTAATTTTCTCTTTGGAATATGTTAATTTGCTCTATTTACGCTAGTTCAGATTCCTTTTCTAAAAATCCAGTAACTAAACGGGTGGTTATGCAGTGATGAGAGGATATAGATTTTAAAAAGAAAGACGTTCATAGTTATTTATAGCTGTGCACTTCTATTATGGGGGAGAAAAGCTTAGAGCACTTCTGAATGAGGATTGTGCACAAATTCCAAAGCCCCGTTGCATAATTTGAATCTGAATATGGAGCCAATCTATTTCCAGCTCAGTTGTGTTGTAACCCAAACTGTAAAAATTGTAAAAAAAAAACCTTTCATTTTGCAATGGTGACGTTTTCTGGAGAATGTGGATGGTCTGTTTCCCAACCAAGAAGGGTTCTTGCCAGCTCCCTCTGGCCCCAAAGTACCAGCCCCCAGAGGTCCTTTTGTCAGGATTCCAGCAGTTGCCCTAATTAAATCATGAGCCTCGAGCCAAACTTCAAAACCAATAATGAATTTATTAGGACTGAACATGCATGTAATTCACTGTCACCCTTAACCTTGGTTTTCCCCCACCCCTTTGAGTGCATCACAATTCATATTCTCCAATTAGAGATTTGCCTGTGCAGAAACTCTGGTCGCCTAGTTACTATCTCTGCAAGTTATGAATGGAATGCACTTTTGATTCCAAACTGCTGTACTGTTCTTTCAAACTCCTTTCCCATCCCCTCTTTTCTGTTGGCAACTGTAAAACGGGCATAGAAACGCTTTATGAGTTGACACCTTTCTGATCCTGTCCCTAACTCAAGCTCAAATTGCCAAGGCAAATGGCTCACCAAGGAGTAGGTCCTTGGACAAAGGAAAAGTTGAAAAGCTGAAACGTTTTTATATATTGATCCAAAAATCTCTAATAATCTCTAATGCGACAAACATGAATATCATGGCATGTTATTAAATGTATAGTTTATCACACACACAACACTGTGTATGTATGTATGTAAGTTGTATGTATGCCTGTGTACACACACATACACACGCGCATAGTGAAACAGAGAGCAGTGAAATTAGTTACAATACTCTAATGTCCTTTTGGCCTCATGGCTGCCGGTAATTTTCATTAACTAGTATACCAATATTTGGTGTTCTTCCTAGATTGATATGTTCTTCCACCTCCAAGAATGTATCTGGGAAACAGCGGGGGAACAAGAGGTTGGGAAATGTCTTTTTTCCTGAGGGAGTTAAGGGATGTCACTGCCCTGGAACCAATGCTAAATGTGTGCTGATGGATGAAATATGAAGGTTGTTATGGAAGCTAATTGGTGTTAGGATTAATATTTTAGCAATATTTTGTCTGCAAGGATCACTTCTGAACGAACGAAAAGAATGAGATGGAAGAATTGAATGGCTAAGTATTAATGGCATTATGAATAAGGCTGTTTTTGACTGGAAATGAGTGTGTGTGTGGGGGGGTCCTCATACATCTCCCCAAACTTCCTACAAAATGTTAGGATGACCCTCTTTTTTTATAGATTTCTTCAGCAGGCGCAAGAGGAAGATCCCCAAACTGCAGCTCCCTTATGCCAAACTGTCTGGAAAGTGCTGGGAACTTCAGCAGTGCCACGCCACAGAAATGTAAGCATCAGCAACTTCATACAACAAAGCTCTGAAAGAAATGGCTACAGATGCCACAGATGCCCCTGTTCCTCCTGCCAGGCCACAGAAGTAGGAGGAGTGGGGGAAGCAGGCCTCTTTCATTGACCACTGCTCCTTTGTCTAGGCAGCCACCTGTTTGTGGACTCCTCTTTGCCAGACTTGGCTGTAGGACTCATGTTGCTGGCTGGATCCCTGACTGTACTGTGCACCTGTCTTATGATGTTGGTCAAACTGTTGAACTCTGTGCTCAAAGGCCAGGTGGCCAGAGCTATCCAGAAGGTCATTAACACAGGTAGGCTGATAGACTGGTTGTCTCCCATCAGACTGGAGATTTCTTGGGTCAACAAGTTTAGATGTCGGGCCTCTGAAGGTTCTACTACAAGTTCTACTACAAGTTCTTGTAGTAGAGCCCGTCTATGTGAATCCTCTCTTCTCCTTTGCTGTTTCTGACATTGCACTGGTTTGGGCAGATCTTCCATCACCTTTTGGATGGGCCACCGGTTACTTTGCCATGCTTGTTGGTGCCGGGATGACGTTTGTTATGCAAAGTAGCTCTGTCTTTACGTCAGCAATCACCCCTCTCGTAGGTAAGTCCCCCAATATCTTCCCCCCAAAATCCTAATAGCAAGCTCAAGATGGAAGGACTGTGTTGTACAAAAGAAACTCAGGATGAGATTTACTGTGGATTTTTAGCCCCCCAGCAAAAGGAGAAGAGAAGCACCAGTCTGCTAATAATAATTCTTAGCCACATCCCTCCCATTCACCATGGCAGGAGGAGGTCAGCCTGGGGTTTAAAGGTATAGCTGCTCTGGGATACATGGAATAAATATGCAAAATGTTACTATCATACTTAAACAGAACGTAGTGATGCAATGATGATTTGAAGGCACAGCTATCTCAGAAGTTATTGAGATGCAAGGTGCTGTATCTATGTTCACATAACATATTTAGCCAGTTAAAATTTAGCAGGTGCATAAGCAACAACCATGATAAGCTTGGTGATTTTTCATGGCTTAATGTGGGCACAAATCCATCTTGCTTGGTTCAGAATATACCTCACAGAAACATGGAAGGAATAGTCCATATTAGAGGTCATCTAATCTAATCTAATCTAGCCTCCTTAGTATGGGATGCAAAGCCAGACTGTTTATTCAGTAACCTAGTTAAACGAGATGACTGAATGGGGATAATGAGGAACTGGACTCATCTTCAGGAACTCTGCTTTTGTGGGATAAAGGAGGGCTTCCTTTGCACTGTTCTTGTGTGTATTGTGGGGAAGGAAGTTGCTAACTTTTTGACCAGCTGCTCTTTTCTTTTGTGGGACAGGTCTTGGGATGATCAGCTTAGAACGTGCGTATCCCCTCACTCTCGGTTCTAACATTGGAACGACAACCACTGCTATCCTAGCAGCCCTGGCCAGTCCAGGGGATAAATTGGCCAGTGCCTTGCAGGTGAGGAGGTGCCCTCTTTCTATTCTGTTGAACTAGAGATGATGGCTTATGACCATAGATTTCCCCGCCTAAGGATTTCTTTATGTGCCACTAAGGACTGCCATTCCCACCAGCTATCAAAAAAACCCAGGAGGAACCGCAATGGTAAATCGGAGAGGCATTAGAATGAAAGGGGTATTAGGTTCCCTTCCTTGCTCTCCCCACAAACCATGTGCCTGATGGGCATTTCTTCCCAATGCTGCACCTGAGAGAACTGCTATGTGTCTGGCTTCCCTTCTCAGATTGCTCTCTGCCACTTCTTCTTCAACATCTCTGGGATTTTGCTGTGGTATCCCCTGCCTTGTACTCGCCTCCCAATCCGCATGGCCAAAGCGTTAGGTGAACAGACAGCCAAGTATCGCTGGTTTGCTGTCTTCTACCTGATTATCTGCTTCCTCTTGTTGCCGTCGTTGGTTTTCGGACTCTCCGTGGCAGGATGGCAGGTGCTGTTGGGAGTGGGAGCTCCGTTCCTGATTCTTCTAGCTTGTGTGGCTGTTATCAACATCATGCAGTCACGAAGTCCAGACCGACTGCCCAGGTGGCTTCAGAGTTGGGACTTCTTGCCATACTGGCTTCATTCTTTGCAACCCTTGGATGGGCTGATGACCAGAGCCATGGTGTGTTGTGCTGCTTATTGTTCAGGTAGCCAGAGGGAATGTAAAAAGGAGTCACCAGAGGTCAGAAGAGGCTTGCCGAAGCCTTCTGTTTTCTTCTTAGAGGAATGGTCTCCACCACCAAGACTCTCATCCCAGATGAATATTCTGCCAACGCAGCCTGCCAGCCGCCTGTGATTTGTGCCAGAGCACAGCTCTGTTGTGGCTTGCAGACAGTGATGCTGAGCAGACAAGGAATGATAAAAGAAAAAGCATGACAAGAAACTGCATCAAATATTGGAGTTTGTGTTGATAGCTGCCCTCCTCACCGGAACTCTGTCAGTGCCACATGTGTATTCCAGCCAATATAGATTCATGTTTCACTGGGTGCAGCTTTTCATGGGAAATATGGCTATAACTGGCATTTGGTGTTCACTGTGCCTATCATTTTGTTATGAGCATCAATGAAGGAGTGCATGTGGACTTACGTATAGTGCAGGAGAGTTTATAGTACTTATAATGCAGCACTCTCGATTGCCCTTAGCATCTGTGTAACAGGAGCACCATATATTCGGAAGTTATTTTGTAGCAGAACTGTAGGTCTCCCCATGTGCAACTCATTTGCAGAATTACTTATAATGGTGATTGAAAGATATTTTCCTTTTAACTTGACAACGAGGCTCTTCAAATGTCTGATGACAACTCACATCATCTCAAATTCATTATATGTGCTAATTGAAACCAGTGGGAATTGGAAGCAAAAACCATCTAGTGGTTGTTTGAACCTGTGGAACATCTACTCCGTTTTATAGTATTGTCTTAATAGATTCTGGCTGTCAAATTCTTTATGAGCAAGTAAGTAATAGAAATTGGTACAATGGTGCTTTCTTAAATAATTCTAATAATAATAATAATAATAATAATTTTGGAATCCCAGAGCAATCAGTTGCTACATTTACTCTGCTTATATTTCTGCTTGGTAGTTATAGATCACTTCAGTTTGGGTTCCAGAAAAATTCTAGAAATAGAACTGGGGAGACATTTGTTTCTGTAGCTTTTACTATATATTGTATTTTTCCGACTATAAGATGCACACACACCCCAAAAGTGGGGTGGAAATGTCTCTGTGTCTTATAGAGTGAATACATGCCTGTTTTTGGCCTCCTGAAGCCTCTGTGGGTCCCATTTTTGCCCTCCCCGGCATTGGGGATGCCAAAGATGGTCACGTTTTTGGCCTGCAAAGTGCTTCTAGATGCCGGGGAGGGCAAAAATGGGACCCATTGAGGCAAAAAACTACTTTTTTTTTCTTGTTTTCCTCCTCTAAGCCTAGGTGAATCTGATGGTCTGGTGCGTCTTATAGTCTGAAAAATACGGTAACTGTTCTCATAATTTTCATTATTCCAGTGAAAATGTAGATTGTGAAGAATGTGGGGTGTACTATTCATAAAATGTGACGCAATATTCTCTTAGCTACCACTGAAATTCAGCTGAGGTTGAACCAATAACGTGATGCAGATCAGCAACTAGCAGTCCTAAGACAGAAACCATTTCCTTTGATTTTTAAGTTTTTACGAATAGAAAACCCTATGTTAACAGAGAAAACCATCCCATAAGAATATACTTTGGGGAGAGGGAGTGAATCTACCCCATTAGCAGACCCCGAACCTGGTTTGAATTAGGAGTGTAGCCAGCACTTTGGTGGTTTTGGTTGCTTTAAAAAAAAAATTGCAAGTACTAGGAAATTTGTAATCTTCCCTGAATCTTCTCCATGTCTCATGTTCACATTTACTTTATGATTATGTCACCCGAACGTGCACTCTGTCATTTTTACCTTTGCTTTGGAACATAATCCCAGGACACCTTGTGTTTCTGCTTTTGTGGAGCTTGAATTTGCAGAGTTTCTTTCAGGTCTGTTTCCCCTGCTGCATAATTTGAGCATCCAGGTGTGTTTCTAAGTCACTCCTTCAAAAATAAAGTTCACTCATAAATCTGTTCTTTAAGTGACCTAGAATATTACAGTATATAACTTTCTGTTTCTTGAATGATGAGGTCCCAGGAATAGCATTCCTTTTTGGAGAAGGAAGTGCCCTGGATTTTTATGGGCATAAATAGAAACCACTGTTACTCAGTGTATTAATACGCTGCACTATTTGATTTGCTATCCAAACATCTTTTTCTTTTTTTCCTAATGAGAAGATCAAGCTTTTCTTCCTGGTTAGCCACAATTCCTTAGGCATCTGAACGCAAAGGAACTGAACTTTGTTTACACTATGGGTTTTGAATGCACTGCCGTGGCCAGTATTGTGATCACCCAGCCATATTGTGAAACCCATTCCATGATTTACAGATACTTCCTGACTTATGACTACAACCGAGCCCAAAATTTCCATCGCTAAGCAAGACAGTTGTTAAGTGAGTTTTACCCCACTTTATCACCTTTCCTGACAGGGTTGTTGACCATTGTCTGGCTTCCCCATTGATTTTGTTTGTCAGAAGGGCGCAGAAGGTGAGTGCATAACCCAGGAATGCTGCAACCATCATAAATACATGCCAGTTGCCAAGCATCCAAATTTTGATCATAATGTGACCACGGGGATGCTGCAACACTTACACCTAGCAACAGTTGTAAATGTGAAAAATGGCCATGTCACTTTTTTTTCAATGCCATCGTAACGTCAAATGGTCACTAAACGATGGTTACAAGTCAAGGATTACTTGTACTGCTGTGCAAGTGAATGGAACAATATCATTTTGGAAAAAGTGCCCCCAAAGGCAAAATCCTATCCTTTGTAATTGGGCAGCAGAATCCTTGACAGTGGTTTTTCATTAACAAGTTACTCCCACCAGTATTCAAACATACAGAGGTGTTTTATTCCAACAAGTGAACTTAAGGGAGAAGTACATTTCCCTGCCACAAAACACAGTGGGTAGAAGCCTTCAGTGAAGGTTTTTGAGCAAAGCCCTTAACATAATCGGATAATTTTACCTGTCCTCCTCTCCTTTTCAGTGAAAGGGGCAGCAGAGTCCTTGAAAATTGGGAATGTAAAGCAGATGTGCCTGGGCTGTCTTATATCACTTTTGCATTTCTTAGGGTGATCTTGGTGCACTCTCCTCAAAGCATCGTATGTGCACAGACTCTGCGGCAGAGCTTCCAGCATTCTTCCCCCATAAAACCTCTGGACATGGCTCTGGATAGGCCTGACCATGAAAAATACAGATGTGCAGAGACCCTTTCATGACAATGATTAATCAGGCATCCAAATTTTACAAAGAAAATAAATTAACAAGGTACTAAAAAACAGAAATGGGCGGTTGAAGATACTCCTTTTCTAGTATGGCACTTTTTGGTCTATGTCCCAATTAAGATAAAAATCTGTATAACTTTAACTATCTCTAAAGATATTTTACTCACCAGTTAAAACAAATGTATCTTTTAAAAACAGGAAACCTTTAAATAACTGATAGTCATTAGGGTCCTTCCTAAACATCTGAAATCAGCCCAAGGTTCCTAAGCTTTGTGGTGTTGTGAAATGATGCACATGTGCAAACACACATGTGCACATCACAAATTAAATGAATTATTTTATTGAGTTAGAATTGGGCAAGAAATAACAGTACCACTTACTTTTAATAATTATATGTATACATAGCAAAGGTTTCCAAACTTTGCAACACAGTAACTGTGTACTTTGGGTTTGTGCTGACAAATCAAGCAAAACTGAGAGGAAAATCCAGACAGTAATTTCCACGGTGTCTGAGTAATCCTTTCCGAAAATTGTGGTTCCCTCTACAGGGCTTGCAACCCTCTTCTACACCCTGCAGTTCTGACCCACAGTTGAGAACCCCCCCCGTTAGTCCATATCTGTCATTATAGTGGTCTAGAAATAACTCCACAGAATGTTGCTGCCATGAAAAACAACCATCTTTAGTGAAACGTGTCTCAAAGATCCTTCTGAGAAACGAAATAGATGATAGCATCCTGTGATCTTTACACCCTTGTTTGTTTGTGGGTTTATGCACGAAAATAGGATCCTTGCAAATTGACACCTTACACAGTCTTGTTAATTGCCTGTAGGTCTCTTCTGAGCAAATCTGGTATTTAGTATAGCATAGGAATAATTCCCTGAGATACTTCATTTGCATTGCTAATGACCAGCCTGGATTTGAGAAAGAAACTGCATTGCTATAAATGGCTCATAAAGACCCTTGGCAAGCAGTTCCTTTAAAAGGATTCAGCCGCCCACTCCTCTCAAATGCCTGTCAGTAGGAGAGCTATATTTTAAAATTCAACCTACTCCTTTATTTGGCAGTTAACACTATTTCTGTAACACGTTATGCCAGCATCTTTTGGAAGTGAGGTTAGTGCACAGACAACTCTGGCCACTGGGCGGCAATGTGGGATAACAGGAATCTTAATTTATAGTCCTGGGAAAGCTAGCCAAGGAGCAGAGGCCAAGGGCCAGATGGCTCTGCCAAAACAGCTGAGATAGGATAGAATAGAATAGAATGGAATGGAATGGAATGGAATGGAATAGAATAGAATAGAATAGAATAGAATAGAATAGAATAGAATAGAATAGAATTCTTTATTGGCCAAGTGTGCTTGGACACACAAGGAATTTGTCTTGGTATAAATACTCTCAATATACATAAAGAAAAGGTACATTCGTTAAGAATCAAGAATCATAACGTACACTGATATCATAACGTACTTTAATGATATTCATAGGGTACAATCAACAATCAAATCATTCTAGGAAACAGTCAATATAAATCATAAGGATACAAGCAACAAAGTTACAGTCCTACAATCACAAGTGGGAGGGGATGGGTGATAAGGAGTGATGAGAAGATTAACAGTAATAGTAGTGTACACTTTGTAAATAGTTGAACAGTGTTGAGGGAATTATTTGTTTAGCGAAGTGATGGCTTTGGGGAAAAAAACTGTTCCTGTGTCTAGTTGTTCTGATGTGCAGTGCTCTATAGCGTCGTTTTGAGGAAAGGACTTGAAACAGTTTATGTCCAGGATGTGAGGGGTCTGTAAATATTTTCACAGCCCTCTTTTTGACTTGTCCAGTATACATGTCCCCAATGGAAGGCAGGTGGGTAGTAATTGTTTTTTCTGCAGTCCTAATTATCCTCTGAAGTCCGTGTCTATCCTGTGGGTTGCAGAACCAAACCAGACAGTTATAGAGGTGCAGATGATAGACTCAATAATTCCTCTGCAGAACTGAATCAGCAGCTCCTTGGGCAGTTTGAGCTTTCTGAGTTGGGATGGTGGGCCTGTAAACTTGCCAGTGAGGAAGCAAAGGTGGGTTAGGGGCTGGGTAAGAACCCTGCTGAAGAAAAGCAAGATAAGAAAAACAATGCAGAGAGCCGAGAAGAGCCAAGGCAATAATTGATCTATTTCAGATCCTGCTAATTTGAGGTTGCCCCCCAAAGCCTTTAAAATACAGCCTTCCCTTGAGGAACTTGATGGATTAATGGAAATTATTCCACTAAGCATGTGCAGAAGTACACAGGTTTCAGGTCTAGTCTAGGCAATCACAGCTTTCGAATTCAGGAGTTTTTTCCTCACAAAATCTAGCCATCTTTTTTCCTCTTTATTCCCCCATCCCACTAGAAGCATAATGAATTCTCCTTCAAGTGGTGCTTGATGCCCGCTGACTGTATGCCACCACCACGCATGCTTTGGGGAGTGGGCAACAGCATGATTGTGGCTTGCCATTACTATCTTCCTGGTAGTCTTTATCTCAATGGTGGGATTCAATTTTTTTTTTTACTGTTTATGTGGGCGTGGCTTGGTGGGCGTAGCAGAGGAAGGATACTGTAAAATCTCTAGTCAGAGGTGGGATTTGCGGTTCTCCGAACTACTTAAAATTTCCGCTACCGGTTCTCCAGAACTGATCAGAACCTGCTGAATACCACCTCTGCTTTATCTACTTCTCAAAGGAGCCTCTTCTCTGCAGGTCCTAATTGGGCCTAGCTGTACTTAACTTCTGACCCCAAAGTTGGCCAGCACGGCTGACGTGCGCAGAGGCAACACCCTCTCAAGAACTACAACTCCTACAGTCCTCAACCAATGTGTACACTTGCTGGCTTTCTTTCCATGGATGTGAGCTTCTAACAGATTGAAGGAGAAAGACAATACTCTGGGAAGTTAATGCTTGTTTCTGTCACTAAACTAATAACATATTTCTTTTTTTAAAAAAATTAATGCTTTATTGAGTTTTTTTCTATATATACATAATACCAAAAGTTATTAAACAGCGCTGTGACATTATATATACATTTATCTGTCTTATCAAAACTTACAATACATAATACTTTCATACCCTCTTATTTATTATATACATTATTTTCATTTTCTATTCTTATATCTATTATCAATCCAAATAAACCATGTTTCCCATACTGCATACCACCTGAAGGCTTAATAATAAAAAATGTTTTAGAGTATGTGGCGATGGATAAATTAACTATGGAATTAAAAGGGAAAACAGACACAGAATACAATATTTCTGTTCCAGCAAAAAGTTGTATAGGTACGGAGGAAGATTAGAAAATAAAGATCTTGATTTCTTCCCCCGCCCTCCGGACTGGACAAACAAGGATTGCAAATCCCAGTACACTTTCTTAGAAGGAATTTATGTTGAGACCAACGATCTGCACAGTTGTAATTTCAAAAAATAGTCTGGAATAGGTGACTGAGGCAGCTGGGCACAGCCCTTCCCCCTTTTGCTGCCACTTTGCACTTACCAGGTGGGGGCATAATAAGCAACTCAGAGACTCTCCGAAGCTCATTAACATTGGTAGCAAACAGCCTCTCCCACTACCAGCCCAATTTGGCTGGGTGCCTGCAGGCCGAACAGTAACTCTGTCAGCCCCTCCCTTCCCTCCTCTACAGGGAACGCAGAGACCAGACTGGGAGAGACTCAAGCTGGAGCAGCCCAGCTGAGCTTCACATCATTTCAGCAAAAAGGGAAGTATCCAAGAAGACTGGAGTTTTCCGTCTGCCCACCTATATTGTCTTGGATATTCCCAATAACCCAATCCGGAACGTTACAGCAACAGGAAGAACGGGTGAGAGTAGCTGGAGTGAGCTGGGGAAACCATTATATCTGCCGTCTGCTGTCTCAAAATATTCTGGAATCCAGACAGCCTCTCCAGGATCCATCTTACTCTTCAAGGTCCATCATGCCTTCTTGAAGACTGTGATTCTGCTGTAACATCCAACGTGATAGCTTGGATTCTGTAGTGCCGCTGCAGGTTTGTGCTGTTGCCTCCCGGCTTAGAATGGTGCCTCCCGAGAAGAAGGTTGGTGGCAGGGCCATCCTTTTCTGCAGCTATCCCGACTCTACAACTTGCCCTACCTAAGCAAGGCTTGGGAGCTGGTGAACCTTGCACAGGCAGTCAGGGCATGGCCTGGTCAGGGGACAAAAGGGATGGAGCCACAGCAAAATGGATCTAGCAATCAGAGTGATCAGGGACCCACTATCTTTCCATACTCACCTCTGGCCACGACTCTCATCCTTGTGGCAGGACTGACTGTGGCTCTTGTGACGTTTACAGGGAATGTGCTGGTTGTATTGGCTGTGTACACTAGCCGTGCCCTTTGGGCCCCACAGAATCTCTTCCTGGTGTCTATGGCTACAGCCGATATCCTGGTAGCCACTCTCATTATCCCATTTTCCTTGGCCAACGAGATCATGGGCTACTGGTGTTTTGGGGGTCTTTGGTGCAGTTTCTACTTGTCACTGGACGTCCTGTTCTGCACCGCCTCGATCATGCATCTGTGTGCCATCAGCTTAGATCGCTACTGGGCAGTCACCCGAGCTGCCCGGTATAATCTGAAAAGGAGCCCCCAGAGGGTCAAGTGTATGATTGGGACTGTCTGGGCCATTGCTGCCGTTGTATCCCTGCCACCCCTGTTTAAGTCTAGACAGCAGGACCAGGTCTGCCTCCTTCATGATGACACCTGGTATGTGCTGGCCTCTTGCACTGCCTCCTTCTATGCCCCTTGCCTCATCATGGTTGCAGTCTATTGCCGGATTTATCATGTGGCCAAACACAGGAACTCTGTGGTCATCGCAGCACGGCGGGTGTCCTACCCCAACTTCATCCCCGTGGCCAAGTACAATCCCTGCAGACGGAGCACTCAGCCTCCTGGGGAAACGCAGAAGATGGGAATGGAGTCCGGCCAGCTTCCTTGTCCCCAGCCTGGCTTGCCACGGCTCTCTCGGCAATGGAGGGTAGATGACGGTGGCAACAGCAGTGCTCGGCCACCAAGGACCCCAAGGCTTTCTTGGTCACTTCCCTCCAGTCTCCATCAGCGCAGAAGCAGGGATATGTCCCTCTCCACCAATCGGCTGATGCAGGCCCGGGAGCGCAGATTCACCTTTGTCCTTTCTTTTATCATTGGAGCTTTTGTCCTCTGTTGGTTCCCATTCTTCTTTACCTACAGCCTGGAATCTGTGCTTGGGGAAGGCTGCTGCATCTCCGAGCCCCTCTTCAAATTCTTCTTCTGGATTGGGTACTGCAACAGCAGCTTCAACCCCATCATCTATACAGTCTTTAACCGGGACTTTCGCAGAGCTTTCCATCAACTCCTGTCCCCTGGCCATTCACTCCTGTGCCGAAAATGAGGACTCTAGATGGTTGTTGGGCCCCGAGAGAGGCACGATGGACAGGGGGTTGGCTACAGAACATTCCCCCTGGGGCCCCACAGAAGGTAACTAGTGGAGGTTGGGGAGCTGAGTATTTCTTCGGCTGCTTTTTATTGAAGACTTCCCCGAAACCCCAGACATGCATGTAGCTTGAAGGGCAGAAGCACCACAAGAAGCAAGATTTCTCTGACTTACTGGCAGGCAGTTGGTTGGCGAGAGTCAGTTTCACACTCCTGCCTTTTTCTCTAGCTTGATGAGGTCACCTGATCTGTTGTTCAGCAAGCTAATTAACGGAGGTAGTGGGAGCAGAGGGTGGCTGAGGTAAAATTATTGATGTGCTATAATGGCTACTATGGCAGCTTTGACTCCCCATGCAGACTTGCCCCAAATTTGGGTCATCGGTGTAATAAAACAGGCAAATGTATGTTCTTGGTTTTGCTAACCCTAACCCTTGGTTTAGGGGTGCCCGTTATATTGAACCACCTCAGTGGTTGGGCTCCATCCTTCATCCTAAAATGGAAAGCCTGCTCCAAAACCAGCTCTAACTCAGAGAAGCTTTGGAAGGAACATTCATTTATCCCAGCTGCTCTGTGGGAAGGGGAAACAGAAACAGATTCTATTAAAGGGGATTCAACAGGCTGACTATTTTGGTACTAGAACTAAAAATGTACAGCTGCGTATTTTTCTGTCTCACGTATATTGTCCCTTGTCAAAACAAGAGTGGTGGCATTTGGAGGAACTGGGGGCTTATTAAAATCATAGGAAGATCCATCTAGTGGTCTGGTACTGTATCAGAAACACTGGCCGACTAGGGGGTCTTGAAGGAAAAACTCACAAAGAGAATGCGATATAGCCGCAATGATAACCTCATGTTTTCTTCCATTGCATAATTGTAGCAAGAAGCCTTCTGCCTCTGAACATTATTTCCTTGTTATTTTGGGTTTGAGCAACTTGAGGTTTGGCTGATGTCCTCCACAGAAAGAGCAAACAGGAAAGGAGCAAAGTCATGGACGTCCTAAGATAACTTTTCCTAATCCCCGGAGTCCTCTGTACCACAGCTCCCATATATTTAGCCATTGGTCTCACTGATTGAGGATTTTGAGGGCTGATGGGGTATCAAGATGGGAAGAACTTTTCCAAGGACAGTAGATGACTTGACCAAGGGACCGACTTATCCCAGGGATGCCCTGGGATTGCAGAAAGGTGGATAGACCAAGAGGGGGAGGGAGAATAGTCCCTGCAGATGATGGTGGTTTACTTAGTGATGTGAAGCTGCCTGTTTCAGAGTCCTCGAGCTAGCCTGCCTGCTAGTTCAGGGGAAGCTGAGCTAAACAAGGGACATATTGCAAAGCTTACTCAATCATCTGGCTTGAGGAAATATTACTCTGATCCTGCTTCTGGGCAGGTGCCAGGCATAGGTCTTGGCAAAGAGGTTCCTGTCAATCATAGCAAAGGTGTCTTTCATATTGCCTCCAGCAATTAAGCTTTTCCTGTTGTTCCAGTTTGTTCAGATTAGTTTCTCAAGCTGAAGCTGGTGCCACAGCCAAGTACCTGCCATCTCTTAGGCACGTTGTCCCTACAATCAAATCTTTTTTGATGTCCCATATGTTTAGCAGGGTAATTCCTGCCATTGCCTGAATCACAACTGAGGCACAAGTCCAGGTTCTGGGCTCCTGCCTGATATTCCAACCTTAACTTTAACAGGCATTCAAGGTATTATTTTCTTCCTGGTACTGTAAGGGAGTGGGGTGGACAGCGGAGCAATGCAAGTTCTGTTTGCCAGGAACTTAATTTATGTCTTGGAGACTCTTTAAGGACAGAAAAAGAGGCAACAGTTGTAACCCAAGACCAATTCACAGAATACACTTTGCAATCACAGAACTGCTTCTTTAATATGCTTCCCTGTGCAAAATGGCTTTTCTATCGGCCTGTCCCCTGTGACTGGATAATAGTCTGTGGACATAGCTTTAAGCCCCCAATAGGCCTAAATGAAGACTACTGCCTTGTCCTATTGTGATAAATAGTTATCAATGAGGGTAATTTGAAATCTCTCTTCCTGTAAGCATTACTGATTATGTTGCTAAGGAGACGAATCCAACAATAAAACTACAAACAAGGCAAGCATTTCTACCAGCTAATAAAGTGACATCTGGTAGCTGATTCTTCCCAGAAAACAGAACAAACCAAGGATGGAGTAAATTAGGCAGGTATCCACGGAGATAGTTTAACACCATATTACTCACTCCCGTTCCAGACACCTAGAAAGGCAGCTGGTGTTAACTATTATCTCTCAGAGTTTGGGTAAACTATGTTCTCATGTACAGATTGACCACTGAGATAAGCTGGAAGGAAAAAGAATCTGAAGGAAAGAATGATGGTTCTTCTAACATATCAATGAACTTGATACTAAGAGTTACCTTTTCTTTATAAAGCATGTTACCTGTCACGCTTCAAATGCACTCCAGCATCCAGCTTGGAGGTCTACACTGCTTGTTCTTTCTACCCAGAAGTGGATTAAAATGTTTCCACCTCTCACATTTCATTTTCATCTTCCTGGGATGCAGTCTCTGTATCAACAATCCCTTCCACTAATTCTACAGGGTTGACATTTTGCACTCTTCCATGATGTTTTGTTTCATCCTTATAAAGGGTTGGTCTAATTTTGTTTTGTGTTTTTGTTCTGTATTTTTGTTTTTGTTTTTAATGGAGCAACTTTGGCATTTGATAAACATGGTGGACAGTCCTTTCCAGGCAGCCTGGACAGGTCCAGAAAGCATCTTCTACAGAGTATTGCTCTGCGCTACGCTGGGATCGAATGCAAGGAGGTACAGAGGTGAAGGTAGAATCATTAAAGGGTGTAGACTTCCATCCAAAACCACTATGTGGTTGGTCAGTTTAGCAAAATTGTTTTTTTTTAACAGAATGGCCTTTGCAACACTGATGAGGTGGAATACACCAGTCCTCCAGATCATCTCCACTGATTATCTTTTGAAACTCTGTGTGTGTTATAGTCCTGCTACCACACCTTCTGTGAAACGGTAAATTCCTGGATTGTCTGTGCTCTATTTTCAATGGTATGAGGGTTGTTTATTTTTTTAATAGGCAAATTATACCTGCCTACATTCTGTGATTTAAGTATAAATTAAACAAAAAGGCTGCATCTCATCTGATTTCCACATGGTCCTTGGGATTGTTCAGAATTTGAACAAACATTGAATATCTGGATGGTGCGGACTGCAGTAAATAAAGTTGTATCCTAGATAGTCGGATAGAGTTTGAGTGGGTTGCATTAAAACATTTATGGCAATGGCCCTTCCTCATTCTGACATCTCTGAGTTGCAGCCAGCCAGCTGGTATGGGAGAAAATTGGGCTGGAAATGAATTTTGATATCTAAAGGGGGAGATGGGGCCCTGAGGAACTGTATGAAAATTATGGTGCAAGTAAGTAAAAAGAGCAGTATGTTCTCAGGATGTTTCCTGATCCAGTTGTTATTTTATATCCCTCCGTATTCTTCAGATCCCCTATGAAAGTATCACCTTGGGGCAAGGAGTCCTGAGTTTGACAATTGGGCCAAGATGGGAGATGGGGAATCCAGCTTTTTGCAGTTTTGACCTTGGTCCTAAAACTAGTCAGGCAATCATTTAAAATATGAAATTTGGGTGACTGCATGTTGGGTGGGAGGATATTTACTCTTCCTTTTCAAGCACATTTTCTCTCTTTTCTATTGATGGGCTATTATCACTCTAACCCTTTTTGTTTTAATTTCCACCCAAGGGAAGATTAAGAAGTTAGATGATGATGCTTTGTAGCTACTTCGCGCTGTTTGTATTGGTGCTATTGGGCCAGGTTTCAAGCAACGTCCCATTCCAGGAAGTTGCTGGTAAGGCAGCTGTTGGAAGGGCATAAGGTGAGAGGAGGTGAAGTGGCACACGGATGGTGAAAGGCAGCCCAGAATTCCTATGAGGGAAGACCTTGCAGCTTTCTGAACGAGTCTGATGACAAGGGACTTCTCACGCAACATTTCCACCAGGGCGATGTAGCTGAAGTTGACAAGGCTGTGATGTATGTGTGGAAAGATGGCAATGCAAAGGGGCATGAGAAGATTAAGTGACAGAGTAGGAAAAGTCTCCTCAAGAGGCAGAGTGGAATGCAGTTTGGATCTGAAAGGACCAGGCCGGCCAGCCCCTCTTGGCTCAGACATGCAGAGGCAAGAGGCTGAATAATTTCCCCAGCTTTTGGGCTGAAAATAGAAAAACATGAAACACTGACCCTCAACCTATCTAAAAACAGCTGTTGGCGCCAAGGGAGCTGGATTCCACAAGCCAGAGGACCTAGCTCCAAGCTCCAGCCCTCCCTTTAGTTTCCAAATTTTGTGCGGTTGTTTGTCTGAACTGCTGGTCTTCAGAAGGAGATTGTACTGAACAACCATCAGAGTGCAAGTTGGGCTGAGGCTGGGCTTGGATGATGGACTCCTCTCTCTTTCAGTTATATCACAGAGGAGCTCAGCCAGCCAACCTTAGTAACATTTCTTATACTTTAGAATATTCATACATATACACATCCTTGGGCTGCATTCATTCCACACAGTTAGCTTGATCACTGAAATAACCAAATTTCCAGATTCATGTGAACCTACCCAAGGTGATCATTAACTAAGCTGAATATATTTAGCAACATTAAAAGATTTCACCTGGGAAAGCATATTATGTGAAGGCAGTTGTGATGTTTAAGGATGACTGGGGAAAAAAAGCAATTGCATTCCTTTTAACTCTCCATGTGACTGAAAAGAAAAATAGGAATAAAGATATTTGCTATAGCAGCTCCTTTTTTTTTTTTTTTTTGTCAGAGTTGTTCTATGACCTTCCCTGTCTGCCAGCAGCAGGAAGAGAAAGTTAATTCTCTGTTAACCCTTTCTTTCCTATTTCTATAATACAGCTAGGATTGTACAGATTAAACAATCCCAAGGATGTTTTGGAGTAAAATACAGGTGGTCCTCAACTTATGTCCACAATTGAGCCCCACATTTATGTTGTTTAGTGAGATTTGTTAAGTGAGTTTTGCCCCATTTTACTTTTCTCACCACATTTGTTGAGTGAATCACTGCAGTTCTTAAATTAGTAGCACAATTGTTAAGTGAATCTGGTTTCCCCATTGAGTTTGCTTGCCAGAAGGTCGCCATAGGGGATCCCATTATTTCAGGACACTGCAACCGTCATAAATGTGAGTCAGTTGTCAAGCTTTGGAATATAAATCACGTGAGCATGGGGAGGCAGCAGTGCTCATAAGTGTGAAAAACGGGCAGACGTCATTTTTTTTCAGTGATGTTGTAATTTCAACCAGTCACTAATTGAGGACTACATGTAAATTCCTTCTAAACCCAACACCAAGTGGATTTAGCTATTTACACAGTAAAGTAGCCCTTATTTGTCTCAGTTAAGGTTGTTATGCGAAGAGTCATGGTATCAGTTCACATGAAGCATAAACTTTGTTCAGAGTGCATTTATCAGGGTAACAGTTGGCTTCATGGGTTTGTCCTACCTGGAAAATCCTTTCTATTTTGATTTTTGATACTATTATATATACAAAAGTTTGGATCTGATATTGTTGGCACCATATGATGCAAACATGTGAATCTGAGGCCTGGATCATCTTGAAGTTCCATAATCCACATGGTATTTATAGATAACCATAACTGAAACAAAGACCATAGCCAACTGCATACAACAACCAAATGCAACTGTAGTTCCAAATGTTCTGGGCACAACTCAGAACAAACCTAAGTCTTCACACTATTTTACATGAGATCTCTGTTGAATCAGCAGCAAACCATAAATCACCACATGCATCTATACCCATTGACCTACTACAGTTGTAGATGTGCCACTTTCTGCTACTTCTACGATGTTCAATGTGCATCTAAGCTACGAATTTTCTTGATCAATGAATGCTGACAAATTTGATTTATCATTTCAGGAGAATTCAATGTAAAAATCTTATAAAATCAGGAGAATCACTGTTTGCTTTCCTGGGTACAGCTTTCCAATTATTCACTTATTTTGTTCCCACCAATTATTAACATGTACCTCGTGTAATAGTGTAGGAGATGACCCAACTGAGCCAGAGGGAATGGTCAAACTCATCATTAGTCATGAGTCCATTCATACCAACAAGAGATCTAAGTCCAGCCCACCTTGAATTTCATCGACTATTATCTACGATCAGTTTGCTTGTACTGTTAGTAGTTCAGATTAATGTCGAGAGCTTAAGCTTGCAATAAATCTTTATACCCATTTGAAATGCCTGGATCTTATGAATTTCCTGGCGCTTGACAGTACAAATAATTCTCACTTACCATCTACTTTGTTCAGGGATTGTTGTGGTAGTACTGAAAATATAGCTTTATGACCTTTGCAGCATCCCTCAGTCAAGTGATTGTAATTACAACCATTATGCATTATATTGTCCCCCCGCCCCAGAGTGAACAGATTGGAAAGGAAGGGATTACAAGAGAATAAACAATCACACAATGAGAATAAAAAGAGCTGTTTGCACAGTAAACTTGAGGCTCCCAGCCCCAAGCATGCTCGGCCTGACCGTGCCACTACACTGCTTTCAATATGCATTCCCCACTGTATGCCTGCTTACTCTTTCGCAATCCCTTCCCCTCCAATGAATGCAAATACAAACAGAAATACCCTCCTTGGTAATTATTCCAGAGCTGAGGTGAGCATTCCAAAAGGTAGAGGAGTGAGGAAAAAGAAAGCAGTCACATGATTTCCTATTGAGCAATTGCTTCACTTAGTGATGGAAAACACCTGTAGAGATGGATTGATCTTGAAGATAATGTAATCCAAACATCTAATTTATACAGTAATTTACCTAGTTATCTTGCACAGGCATTTGACTGTCAGGTAATAAGATTCTAAGCTTATTGATGGATCACACACAGCATGATTAATGGATATCATTATACTAAATCCATTAAGTTCTTTCTAAGACACTGGAGCATAGGATGATTGGGAGTGGAATTTGTCTGTACCCCCAGTTTCCCTATGAGTTCCTCTTTCTGCAGACAAATGCTTGCATACTTGACCTCTAATCTTGCTCTGAATATCTCCAAACAAGGAGAGCCTAGTGCCATTCACGTCTGCCTGTTCAAAAGTCATACAGTATGAAGTTTCTTCTGGTGTTTGGCTAGATTGTTGTCTTGTCCACAGACGATGCCCTTGCACCTCTGAAAATATGTCCTCTTTGAACATAGCTTTCTAAGTTTTTGAGAACTATGCTCCCAACTAATCCTTAGATAGGCTGCCTCTAGACCAATGGTATTTAGATTTTTTTTCTTTAAAAATAAGCATTCCAAAATTACTTATACATTTGCTAAATTCTTTGTCCAAGCCATAAGGTCTGGCTGTGTTGATCCCTAATAACGGAACTAAGCAATTTACTTAATTTATCCGATTTTTCTGCATTCTCACATTGCATTTGGTTGTTTTAACTTTTGCGACTATAATAAAATGTTCGTTCATTCTTTCATTTTCTTGCTATTTATTTCCATGATGTCATCTTTTCCTGCTCTCTGGACAGAGAACCAACCACGTTCTTTGTGACAGCTCTCAGTTACTTGAAAACAACTAGCTCATAAACCCTACATGGTCTTTGCCAAGCATAAGACTTAGTTTTATGTCATGAGATAAGCAAAAAGCCTGCTTTTGAGGAGTTTCTCCTCTGGGCCAGAGCAGATTTGCCCTCCATCCTTTTGACTTTCCTTACAGAATTAATGTTAGACGTGGGGTGCCCTCTGCTGTTTCAGAGTCTATGGAACAATATTTCTTCCCTCCCCATCCTCCAAAAATATTTTGCTGAACTTGGTCACTCAAAACACAAAGTAGATTCATAATTTTGATATTTCTGTGTGAAAATGTTCTTCTGCTGAGAGTTCAGTGCTCAGTATTCAAGGGTTTCATTTAGCTGAACTCCAGCTTTTGTGGTTCTGCCCATTGGAGGGGAAACCTACCTTTTCAGTGTCTCCTCAAGAATGACACCAAAGAGAGGCCTGTTGCTGAGATGTATTTAACATGGAGAACAAATGTTGTGCAGGCAGCCAACCTTCTGGCATTTATAGCCTTCCTAGCAGAGAGGAGGGAGCAGTCGAACTCAAGCAGTGGGCCTTCCATTGTCTCAGTAAAGATTTTTTTCAGACTACAACATGGAGTCTGAACATTTGGTGCAGGATGGTTTATTATCCCCCAAAATAACCCACACAACTGGTATCCTCCGGTTCTGTAATGTTCTGCATCTAGCCTAGGGAGCTAAGAGAGAAAAAGATGTTCAAGCCCATGAGGAATTTCAGTTTCACTGGCTTTCTACTCTCTGGCTTGCTAATGCATGTTGCTCTGAATCCAGCTGAGGTAACGAGCGACATTGGTGTAAACCCCAGGTTTGTTCCTTTGGGCACAGCCTGTGCTCCAGCTGACAATGCCACGGATGGTGGCCTTGCCTTGCTCTTCACATACCAGGGGACCGCCCGAATCTCCCTAAAACACAGAAGGGGAGAAAGATAGATCAGCAAAAGGCAGCATCAAAGGTACCGCCTCTTCCACTTTTCTTAATGAAATTGGCGTAGTCCCTTTACTTCCTGAGAATAAACTACCATTTTGTGGCAGCTAGCTGTGTGGATTTTGGTTGCAGTAAATTTGTTTTGAAAACAGACTCCTCACAGGGCTGGCCTGAACCCTCTCCTCTCTATGAAATTGCTGCAGTGCTTGTTCTTAAGCGAGATCTTTTCTTATGTCCTCAGAAAACTGTAAAAGGGTGCCTGATTTCAGTGAAGCAAAATCCCAAAACAGCAGGCACGCAGTAATCCCCATACCTGCCATAGAGAGGAAGGAGTCAATCTATTTTCTAAAGCGCCTGTAGGCCAGACAAGGAATAATGGATGGAAACTGAACAAGGAGAGATTTAACTGCCATCTGTCAGTAATGGTGTAGGGTCTCCCACTTGGGCGAGAGGTTGGACTAGATGACCTACAAGGTCCCTTCCAACTCTGATTATCTGTAACTCTGTACCTCTTCATTTCTACAAGATAAATCAAATAAGTTTATTAAAAATTGGGAGAAATAATGGATAAAACAGAATAATATGAAGGAACATTGGTGCATATGCTTCAGCAAATGAAATATTAGGTCCATATTTACCATTCATACTTTTAGAATAGAATAGAATAGAATAACAGAGTTGGAAGGGACCTTGAAGGTCTTCTAGTCCAACCCCCTGCCTAGGCAGGAAACCCTACACCACTTCAGACAAATGGTTATCCAATCTCTTCTTTAAAAACTTCCAGTGTTGGAGAGTTTACAACTTCTGGAGGCAAGTTGTTCCACTGATTAATTATTCTAACTGTCAGGAAATTTCTCTTTAGTTCAAAGTTGCTTCTCTCCTTGATAGGGTACACACACACATTCTTCCAATAATATAAGATCATCCTTTCTGCTACAGAGTGTCCAAACCTCTCAATAAACACAGAAGTTACAAATGTGGAAATATAATTTAATAATAAACTTTGTTATTATTAGCAACTTGGTTAAGTAATAATATTAAGCCAAAAAAGTGCTACTACGAGTGAACATAACCAAACCATATGCACGAATGTTCCTTCATATTTCACATCTTTAGAATGGGAAAGACAATAACTAGTCTTTTTAAAGCATCAGTTGGATTCCTTAAACCTGAAAAATATGTTTTTTATTTTTCTTATTAATGTAGAACTACCCTACTTTTTAAATGGCACTTAAAACTGAGAACATAAATTTGTCCCTTCATTTTACATTTAATAAAATGTAAGGGGGGAATTAAATACATGGGGGCTAATCATATGAACTTATATATCAATTCTAAATCTATTTAATTTTAAAAATTATTTATTTATTTGTTCAATATTTATGGCCACCAATTTTATTCTCTCCTTACTTTTGGAAATATTTGAATTAGGTAATGAATACTGACAATCAGTGGCAAACTGAATATCTTGCCAATTTATATTTTGGAGAGAAATGAAATATATGTGGACAGTATCATCAGATGTAAAGTTTTGAATGTTAAAAGCAGAGTTTTCCAAACGTTTTCAGGTCATGGAACCTGTTAGTTAAATGGAATCGCTGATCAAGAAGTAAAGCACTAGTGTATAAAATGAGCAATAAAATGTAAAATAAATTATTGTAAATGCAAAACTAGCATAGCCAATGTACAAAAAATAAATCGTGAATTTCACAATTATTTGGGAAGTTAATATTTTAACCAAACTCATCAATACTTCGGACATTTTTCTTGTTACTATACAAAGATGTTCAAAATGCTGTCTTTTTCTCAGGGCATTCAAAATATAAGAACTCTTGACTGAGTTTGATTGCCTTCACACTTGAATCATCTTCCCTCTATTTCTTTGCTCTGGGCTCCACGGTCAACCGAACTCTACATGAGTTAGGGGCATCAGACATTTCACAATTCCACAGGGCTTCACCAGGAACACCAATCCTATCCATTGGAAAAGCCCAAAGCATTCAGAAATAATTTTGATTCTTAAAGCCTTTAGGAGCAGGCCATCCTAACTGGTACAAAGAGGTGTAGCAATCCATCCAAGCTATACTATTAAATGATAGGATCACAACAATGAATTATGCATATCTTTCCAACCACTAGTTTCCTATACAATATCTCAGAAACAAAAACTTGATGGGTGGATCACCTGGCCTACTCAGTCTCTTAGCTTTCTGATTTACTAAGAATCTGTATCATAGTAGACATGAAGACCTGAACCAGTAAAGTCTCAAAAAACAAAAAAAACCAAAGCTGAAAATTTCCAGAGATCATCAGGGAAGCCATTGGACAACATGGGTGACATATCAACAGGTTCCCCATTGTGTCTGAGCCAGCACAAAACAATACTGAAACCAATGTCAAACAAATCAGTTTACTGGGGGAATTATCCACTAAAGCACTCATGACCTCACAGTTTAATTGCTTGGTATACTGGGAGAGATACTTGGTTTTTAACCAATGGTAATTTCACAGATCTTCTCATCTGATAAGTAAAGACAATGCTTCCTACCAGTTGATGGCATTCAGAAAGGGAAACTAACACAAAGCTAGAGGGGTAAGCCAATAGCTTATCCTACCCTGCATTCCTAAAAATGTGAAAAAAATCAGAATGCCTGTGCTGTCCCAGCCAGTCTATGGGAATTGGATAGTTACTTAGGAATTATGAGCTGTCCCCTTAAGGGAATGCATCATGGTAAATGTAGTTAAAGGTATCCTGGGAAATGTAGTTCATGTCACATGGCCACATCTGTAATCCCGAATGGTCACTAAATTGATCCTCGATGGGTTGGGGGAGGTTTTTCTCATTCTTGCCTGAATTCACTAACTCATGGCAGCTTCTTTTTATTGCTATGAGATGGGTTAGAAGATAATCATCTTTTACATCAAGGCAGATATGCAAAGGATTGGTCATTAAAGAAGAACTTCATCACAAATGTGCGTAATGAGGATACCTGATAAATCAATAAATGTACTTTGTTATGGACGTCTTGTTGAGTTATCTATCTGCATCTTTACAGTTTACAAATCCACCTCTGTACAGGATACAGAAAAATGCCAGTACCCAGTAAGAAGACATCCAGCATAAGATTCAGCAATGAGGAGAGCAGATTTTATGCCTCCAGAGTTTTCTGCCAGTTTAGAGATAGGTGAATAGCACTTCAATTGACTACGGGAAAAGACCCATTTTTCACTTCTCTCCAACATGTACGTTTACTGAATAATTTTGTTGATATGGTGGGATTTAACTGGGAACTTCAAAAGGAAGAATAACATCGGAGAGAAGTGCCAGGTAGCCTATTGGCCCTACAGAGTGCTATAGAAAGACTGTCTTAGGTTACAATAGAATACATTTTTTTCTTCTTCAAATCTATTTTATTCTATTCTTACCACCTCAGACTATGAGATGGGCAGCATATGAATTTAATAAATAAGTAAAAATAATAAATAGAATAGAATAGAATACTTTATTGGCCAAGTGTGATTGGATACACAGGGAATTTGTCTTGGTGTAAATACATACATTCTGGGTGCAAGCTGAGATTGAGCTGAGAATGCAAAGTTTGAACAAGGGGCTCCAAATGTGTGGCTCTATGGGAAGTTCACAAAAAAACACCTTTCTGGCCCCCTTGACAGGTTCTGCCCCAAAGGCTTCCAGAAGGCTCCTCTGCAAGCTGCCTTTACTTCAAATTGGTTTACCTGACATGCATCAATTCTTCCTTCCAGGTAACCTGCACATAGCATGTGTTGGGTAATCTGGGACCCATGTACCTCTGGGGAATGGCACTGCTCATGGGGAATGATGGGCACATCTGCCTCCTGCAGATATACAGAGAATTTGTCAGCTCCTAAAGAGGAAGATAAAGAAAGAAGCACATTGACACAAATGGGGCCTAGCTCCAGTTTTTGTCAGGACTTCTCACACATCTTGGTAGCATTTATTCAGTTTTGATACTGGACTCACATACCTGCGTTCTACAAAGTTGTCCCCCTTGATTAGCGCATTTTCTTCTAGCTTGGCTGCAATGAGCTCAAAAAGGGAAATCTTCTCTTTTACTATTTGCAGCCCTGTGGGCCGTTTTGCCAACCACCAGAAATCTTGCCTTACTAGCTCCCTTAGCCTGAATTCAGAGCTCTCTGGTAGGTTTCATAAGGAATATTTTAGCAGGTTCAGTCTTAATTCCCTAGTCAGGTTTTTCCTTCGCACATTCTGTAAAAATGACCTGTTTGACATTCCTTGCTTCTTTAAACAGGATGCACTAAAGTCCTCTCTCGCCATGCCTTCCAGCTTCTGGGCTCAAATGAACCATTATTCTCTCTGAAACACCCACATACACAGAAGCTCTATACTCATGGATGAAGCTACTAAGGAAAACACCTGCGTGCAAATTTGCAGTATGCCATCATCACAGTTTTCAATTTAAATCTATCTAGGTTTGCAAATTGCTCAGACAGCATGAAAACTGAAACAGGGAGACTGGGAAGAGATAGATGCTATTCTTTTTTTCTTTCCATAGACAACACGGACAAGGGGAATTTTGTTACTCCAGGACCTGCTGTAATTGAGAGAAGGTGGGGCATTGACTGAAGGATGATTTTTGCTTTTTTTTCTAGTGGTTGAGAAGAAAGAGAACTGGTTAGCTTTTCGTATTCTCAGCCTGTTCTCAGAATTCTGAAGTCTCTGGGAGTGAAAACAATCAAAACAAAACAAAACAAAACATGTGCAAACACTCGGAGGAGACTGCACTGCACAGAAGTTCTCTTAGACCCAGAGAGTGCTGGGTATCGGGGGAAAAAATGATCCCCTTTAAATCAGCTTGGCCCTATCAACTTCATTTATCATATGGCCATTGCAAAAACTTATGACTGCTGACAGCCTCAAACCATCGCTCTTGTAAGGAAAAATTTAGTTTAGCTCTGCAGGAAATGTTATTACTAACCAGACAGCAAATGAAATTACTTTTTAAAGCACCTTTCTTCGACATCGTGTTCTCTAGATGTGTCGATCTAGTATTCCTACACTTGTTAACCAGCAAAATTGGACTTGTTTTCTAGGGAGTATCAGAGTAGAAAGCTGTTTTAAGGACATTGTGTGCTAGACCTGAAAGCAAATATCTCAGCAGAAGACCAGCAAGTTTCAATGAGTCATTGTATCGGTATAGTTTAAGATAGGAAAAACCATTCTGTAAATTGCATTCTGAAAGCCCTACCTTGTTCTGCTTCCATAAAAGTAATGGCTACATGCCTTGACTAATATTAAATCAAAAGCAAGTTGCATCTGGATGCCAATTACTGGAAAACACAAGCATGAGAAGGCTATGGCCCTTGTGTTATACCATACGCATTGTATCTGGCTCTGCATCTGGGAACACAATATTGGGTTACATAGGCTCATCAAGCAAATAATAAGTGGTGGGAGACAAAATGAGAAAACATATTTTTCCCCTAACAAAGTTCTGGATGAAGCTTGATATAGAATGATGGTCAGCCAATCAGGTCACCCTGAAGTCTGGCTTATATTTATCTGTTATCTGTTTAGCTTTGCCTCCTTACCTTCATACATATGTCCCCATCCTGCAATCTGGCAATGTCCATTGTTGTCATCTGTCTCCAAGGAACCAGGCAGACATATAGGTGAAATGGAGTTGGAAAATCCAATACAATGTCCTGGGGACTTTTCCTCCAGTTGCACCAGAGCTGGGGATATCGGGCCAAAACTGAATTAGGGCTCAAATACAAAGATTTTAGGAAGCAGGCAGGCTGAATGAAAGAATAAAAAGGCTGGTATATTGCTCCGAATGGGGTATTGCTGTAGGCATGGAGACTTAGACCAAAATAAGATTCCTCCAGCAGGAAGCATATGACGAGTTCTACCAAAAGCCAGCATTATTTTTTATTACAGCATGCTATAGCTACAGGGCATGGATTAGGATCCAACAATAAAACTGTGCCAGTCTAGATAATGATTATCACTTTGTTCAGACCCAGCTACCATGGTCAATCTAATTCCATCAATTCCTCACCCATCCACTAGGACAGGGATCTCCAAACTTGGCAACTTTAAGACTTGTGGACTTCAACTCCCAGAATTCCCCAGCCAGCCTCGCTGGGGAATTCTGGGAGTTGGTCCACAAGTCTTAAAGTCGCCAAGTGTGAGGACCCCTGCACTAAGAGGTCGAATTGCTTCTGAAAGCTGCTTGCCCTTGATGGAAACTGAGATACGTAATGAACACCCTGTGGACAATCTAAGATGAAATAGGCTAAGTCTGAGAGACATTGGAAATTAAGAAATGTTTGTTTATCAAGGTGGAGAGAATGGATGGAATAGATAGTTGTAACCCTTGAGGGCTGAATTTAAAAGAAGAGGTCCTCACCAATGTCATGCTCCTTAGTTATTTGTGAATAATTCTCATGCAGTTGATACTTCTGTACCTGGAACTTCACACTGCCGTCAGTGCTGGTGTTGTAGAAGATCTGGCCAAGCACCACTGAAATTCTAGACACATCTGGCCTACAGCACAAAATGTATGATCAGCAGAACTTTTCGAGGTGAGAACTAGATTCTCTAAAGGAACCTTTAACAATGCATGACGTGTTAATTGAAACCCCATGATTCCGACATCTTGAAGGCAACGTGTTATGGAAAACTTCTCTGGAGCAGAAGTAGCCAGTCTTTTGAGGGAGGGGGAAATCAGCAAGGCCAAAGCTAAAAAGTGGGGCAGATATTCCCTTTAATCTTTCCACCCAATGTAGCAGACTATCAAGAAAGGAAAATATCACTAATGCCAGAGATGTCAAATCAATGCTTCAAAGCCTTTTGAATTAGACTAATGGCCTCATCTACTTAGGCCAAGGGGCAGGGACACTCAGCTACTTTTGTTTACACAACAGTAATCCAAAGTTATCTAAGAACTGTCATATGTTAAATGCTGGGGTTGACCTTCCAGTTGATCAGGAACTTGCAACTGAGGTAGAATGTGGTAGCTAGGTTGTGAATAGGGCACCTAACTGTGCAGAGCTGTGCTGGAATTATACTACAGCTAAACTAAGTTCCTGGCCGCCTATTAGCTAATCAGGTAGATCCTAAACAACTTGGAATTAGGACAACTTGTGGCAGTCTATCTTTGCTATTATACTACAGGTCTAGTTAGTCACCAAGATCATCAGTAAGATCTTGCTGAAATTCCAAAGTTCCCAACAGGTGAGTAATAGTCACAACATGGAAAAAGACACTGAGACTTACATGAATTCTAGGCAATGTGCAGCAGTCAAGATCCAGCAGGAATCAATGAGGCTTCCTCCACAGAATTGCTCTCCAATGTACAGAGCAGCCAGATAGGGATGGGCACCAGGGAGTGCCACCATACCTCCTACGATACGGCTGCGTGAGGAAATGACTTTTGTAAAGCGTAGTCCACAAACTGGAGCTGAGCTAGTGGCAGACGGGGGTTTGCTATTCACAGGGCTCATGGTCCACTCTTCCAGAGGTGCTCCTGTCACTTTTGTTATCAGTTCACCTGTGTGAAAAACCACATTGACTCATTCATTTCTGGGGTTCAGCTTACACTCAGCTCTTTCAGAGGGAACAATTTGCCTTACCAGAACTTTGTGGGTGACAGCGGGTAATGTTACAGTACTCCCATGTGATTCGTCTGTCTTGTAGCAAGAAACACCACGGCTGGGTGTCGTTATCTGGATTTCTGCCCAAAGAAAATGTTCAGGATTTTTCAGATTAGACTAACATTCCTTTACAATATAGCATTCCCTTTCTTACAATTTCAATTTTCTTTAATCTGTTCTACTGTTTAGGAGCAGTTGGGCTTTCTATATCCCTGGATACTTTGCTTCTTCAACCCCTTATATTTGTTTATTTATTTTATTTTAATATTTTAAAATCAAATTTATCAGCTGCCCATCCTTCCACGCGGTAATTCTGGGTAGCTTACAATATATTGTCTTTCTTTGATTCTCATTAAATGGATCTACTTTCCCCATTTGTACCTCTAACTACCACATAAACCATGGCCCATCAATGTCCTTTTTTTTCTGGTGCTCCAATGAGGTTACCTTCAATTGGTCTCCATTTCATGGATGAGACTCCCTTTGGTCATCCTTAGCTAATCTAGAAGAAGTATTTCCCTCCTTATTCTGACACCTTTCAAGGATGGATGGCCTCAAAGTATGTGCACTCTGTTTTGCTTAATTACCCTTAGAGGGCAGTGAAGTGGATGCAGTGACTTGAAACAGACCCAATAGAAGATTGGCAGTGGGGCAATATTATTTTATGACAACTCAAGGGTAGGCGGATAATCCTTCAACTCAACCAGTGGGGAAAGGCGCACCCTAAAACTTGGTCTCACCTGCAGAAGGCGTGTTCCCCTAGGCCCAGGTTTACTGCATTCCCGAGTTGGATGGAATACTCCATAAGAAGGAGCGGGGAGTCCCAGGGTAGGCAAGCTGCCCCCGAGGAGCTACTCTGAGCCATGCCTCGGTATAGGTATCCATTCCCACTGTAGCAGATTTCAGTGTGATCTAGGGCACAAAGAGACCAGAGAGATGGGTTGTAAAATGTTGAAGAAAAATGTGAGGAATCTAATTCCTTACCATGATTTCAGAATGCTCTTCGTCTTCTGGGTCACATATAGGGAGCAGCTGAAAATATTTTGTTACTTGAGAGAGGAGCCACCTACAAGGAGGGCTCAAATAAGTCAAGATGACGGCTAAGATTGCGATCTTGGTTTCCTTAATAACTCCCTCCCCGCAATGCCCCTGGCTTGAAGTGATAGCCCACATATAGAGTCTGACTGCACCTCTGTATGGTTTGCCAATTGCACCGTGGAAGATAGGAAAGCACTCCAGAGGGTTAATGTCATTGCCCAGAAGATCACTGGTTTCCCTCTCCCCTCTTTGGAAGAGCTTTATAGCTCCTGCTGCCTTAAGAAAGTTCAAAACATTCTCAAAAATCCATCTCATCCTGGGAACCCTTTTTTTGAACTATTACCATCTGGCAGATGGTACAGAGTAATAAAAACAAGGACAAATAGGCTGAAAAACAGCTTCTATCCCAGGCAATAGGTCTTTTGAATTCTGCTGTATAGTGCAGTGTTGGTGTGGTGTCGGGGGTTTCTGGTTCAATGTGTGAAGGGTGAAGGATATGTGTTTGTGTTTATTTTCATGGTCATGATGTGCACTGAAGATGGTGTTTGATTTCATTGTAGAGGTGCAATGACAATAAAGTAAAGTAAACTAAACTGGCAGTTAAATCAGCAAATAGGTACTATCTAATCAGGAATATAGAACAAATGCCTCTGTTTTCTTCCTTCCCAACATTTTTTATGACCAACTGCCAGCTTTTTCCCTTTGAGGCAATCATTCTGCTGTCTGCCAGTAGTGCTGGGGCTTGATTTTGTGTTCTTTGAAACAACTTTACAGCAAATGCTGGGCCAGAGGAATAAAGTTGACCCTTGTTTAGAAAGCTTCTATTACATTGATTGTCCTAATCAGTTCTGCCCCTCTTCTTTTACACTGAATGGACACAGCATGCTTTTGTAACTCAAAACCCACAACTCAAAGTTTCTTTGACTTTATCATACATCCCGCAGTGGGAGCCCAACTGTCCATAACATCAGCCTAGGAAACTATAAAATATAATTGCATTGACTGGATACAGAATCCAAAACCAAAACCAGAAATAGAACGTTTTTATTTTTTCCCAGTGGACTCATCTTTGTTATTTTCTTTTCTTTTATGCTGGCATATGACATATCTGCCCCCCCCCCTTTTTTTGCCCTTTCTCTAGCACAGCTTTAGTGCTGTGAAGATGGATATATGAAAAATAAGACTGTAAACATACCTACGTCACACAGTGGTCCAGAAAATTTTTCAGGGCAGCTGCAGACCAAGTTCTGACCCAGCTGGACGCACTGACCTCCATTCAGACAGGGGTTGCTTCTGCATGCTGTGAGTCCCAATAGAGAAAGATACAAAAGAAACTGTCCTGCCAGCTCAAACAATGGGAGGCTCACGTTTGGTAGCTTGTGTTGATTTAGCACTTGGATCTCCAACGAGCCCCTCCCCTCTTCTTTGAGGCCTTCCAGGGCCTGATTTGGTTTCTTTTACTTCATTAGTTTTTTATATATTAAAATAATAAAACATTATTTTAAAAAATTGGGGGAAACTAGCATTATGGAGAAAGGTAACACTCTGTACTTCCAATATGTCTTTGGCCCGCCTAGACATTCCGAGGCTTTCTTACAAAATTATTTAAGGGATGGCTTTCACTCCTGCTGCCCACTTGCCCAGGAAAAAAAACAAAAAACAAAATTCAACTGAGGTGGTATAGAACCCCTAGGGGAGCTGTTTCGCTAATTTACAGCTCAATATATATATTGTGTTTTTTCTGGAAGCGCCGAGTCCATTTCTTTAGATCAACCCAATGTCTGTTGGTTACAACAGGAATTCATTGATCAGCTTATTGCCCGAGGTGACATCATGGACTGAGAGAGAGAGAGAGGGAGAGGGAGGGAGGGAGAGAGGCTAGCTCAAAGTCACCTAGGTGGCTTTTGTGCTGAAGGTGAGACCAGAACCCCCGGTCTCCTAGTTTGTAGCCTGGAGCCTTAACCACTAGACCAAACTGGCTCTCACAATTCAATATATTGTATAAACCAAGAAAATCAGTTTATCCAATAATGTTGTGCAAACATGATCTATAATTAGCATTACTGTAATACTGGAGACCTAAGTACACATTGCACACAAATGCATATATAGCCAAATTACAGTCGCCTTTTAACCTGTGCTGCGGCTGTGAAAAGAGTGCAGATTCCATGCTTGGAGTATTATGAAGGGATTCAAAGCTACAGCTGCCAGTACCCTCAAGGAAATATATAGTGAGACCACACTTGGAATACAGTCCCCACCCCTTCAGAGTTGTATCGTGGAACTAGAAAAGGTGCAAAATTGGGCAATCAAAATAACTAGGAGGCTGGAGCACCTCCCTCCCGAAGAAGGATTCAGCTAGCAGGGCTCTTTAGCTTGGAATGAAAGAGATTAAGGAGCAAGGTGATACATGAAGTAAATCCATGCCTGGTAGAGATCATATTTGTGAGAGGAAAGGTTATCACCCTCTTTGTTAAAGTTATTCAGAAATGACAGATGGAAAAATTTTATATAGCACAGTTAAGCTTTCCAGAATTTACTGCCAACAATGGGATTCAACAGCTTTGAGGAACATCAGGTTCTAAATGGCTGCTATCATTGGTGGCTGTTTACTTCCTTCCGAATCATAGGCAACAGGATGCCTTAAATACAGGTCCTAGGAACTAAAAGTGGAATTCAGGCTGGCGAACATCTCAAATGCACCCAGGTGGCTACTGTCTGGCACAGTACGTTGCCCTAGGAGGAAATATAGCCTGATCCAGCAGGAGTTCTTTTTTATGAATTCCTCATTAATGAATTAAAAAAGGGGGGTTTTCAAGAAGAGGATGAGAAGTGTTGGGAGATACTGAAAGGAGTAAGAATATTCGCACACAAACATCTCCAGATCAATGAAGCCCAAAATATGTTTTCTTTGAAAAAAACCAGTACCCTCTGGACGTTTTTTGAAAGATACACACACATGATAGAGCAATGACTTCTATTATAATAGTATATAACTGTACTTTTCAGTCGTTGCATCTCTAAGACAGGAGGACTTCAACCCCTAGAATTGGTGGCTGAGTAATACTGAGAGTTGAAGTCCACCTGTCTTAAAGTTGCCAAGGTTGAGAAACACTGATATACACAGCCCACCTTCCCTTAAGTTCTCACAACAGACTCATACAAATGATATATTATGTCATATCCTCATGTGTGAGGTTTTACATGACTTCTTGCATGCAGAGTATATCTCTAAGTGGAATTTTTAGTTAACCACAACACCGCGATCAGTTTCACCCATTTGGGCCTCATCAGATATACGGAGAATAACATCTGGCTACTCATGTCTGATGAGTTCCAATAATAGATAAAATTGACTACAGTGCCTTCTAGTGTAATGGTGCCACCTGACTTGATACATTAAAAAGGTAAATTTCCTCAAATCAAGCTTGGTTTCTGGGACTAATTTTATCTTGAAATTTGATTTTTTTTCAACTTCCCAATCTAGCCAATAACCATAGGTTGCTTACTGGTCTTCCACTCAAATAATAACTAGGTCTAATCCTAGTTAACTTTTTGAGATCAGCCAAAGTCAGTTAGATGCTACCAGCTCTATTAACACTATTATTTTTGGTATTGCCTACTATTTGAATCTCAGGGAAAAAATAATTCTTACTATATTAGAGTCTTTAAGCGATCCTACTTTGTTTGAAGGTGAAGCTTGTAGTTTGGGCAACATGCAATGGAGAGATTTCTCCCCTTTATTTCAACATAATTGGTTTATAGCTCGCATCTGCCATTTCTGACCTTTTCCATGTATTGTCTTGCAGGAAATCTTCTTTCTGTTACAGTGGCACTCCTTCAGCCCAGTAGAGGGAAAATATTGCAGCCATGTTTCCTTCTTGCCAACATGCAACCATCTTTGTGATCCAAAGCAGCCTTCTGTGAAGTCAAGCCACAGGGTGAGACTGGACTCAGCTGATATTAATCTTCAGCAACACTGCCTGATCATCAGAGAGGTTTACAAAAACACTCCATCCCTCCTTACCCTACAATTCAGAGGAAGCCTAAAGCCTCATTAGAATATGGAAGACTTTAAAAGTTGTCTGGCTCTTAAAACCCCATTAATATATAATATAATTCTTTCTCTTTTCTTTTTGGACACTCTATGCTGCCAGGAAGGAAAAAAAATATGACACTATGAAAACCACGAGCTCCTTCTAAGAGGGAGTTGTGGCGTGTCAGTCAATTAATTTGAAACGCCATAGGCTCCTGTAGAGTCTAGCAAGGAAAAGCATGATCTTATGTTGACCTCGGTTGTACAAAGACCTACTATATACACCTGACAGGAAGGGGACAGGCCTATAGCTCCAGAATCATACCTTTCTCACAGCGTTTCCCATGGAAACCAGCTGTGCAGGTGCAGTGGAATCCAGTCTTCCTAGCTTCGCAGGCACCCCCATTCTGGCAGGGGTTAGGATCGCAGTACCCTGAAAAAACATGATGATATAGACTATCACCCCTGGATAGATACAACTGATATTGGACTGTGTCCAAACTACAATAAAGCATGGGCGTAAAATCTGACACAGTGGATTGCAGCCATATCAGAAATATGGTTTCATGTAAGATACATTCATCGGGAATGCTGCCCCTGGGAAAAAAAATCCTTTGGGCCATAATATGCAGGCTTTAAAAAAAATAAATAAACACCACTGACTCACCTGTTGGCCTTTCCTCTTTCTGACAAAGTTTCCATTGTTGGTCTCGGTCATAGTTTGCTGTGGTGGCGCACCTGATAAGGAAGAGTCTCGTCTCAGGCAAGGTGTGCAGGGAAGATGGACCAATGCCACAATTTGCACATTGTGACTTCCTTTTTTTCTGTTTCGTTTTTCAAGGCCATTCAAGCCTCAAAATGTCCTCTTCTCTGCTCCCTGCATGCTCATTATTCCTGTGAGCAACCTATACTTTTCTGGCCAATCAATACTTACCAGCGCTGAGATTTAAGAAAGTCGCCAGGGAGACAGGAGTAGTGCATTTTGCGTTGGTAACGGAAAGGGAAATGGCAGGATTCCTCACTGGTTGATGCCACTGCAAAGCAAAGCGGGATGATGGGTCTATTCCTTGTGCAAAATGGCTGCCCTGTAGCTCTCCTATTTCAACTAGTGAAGTGGCAGGGATATCCAGCTTCCCTTCATATCTATGGACCCTTTGATTATAACAGAAGACAACAGGTGTTTTTTTTAATGCAATTACTACAGGTAGTCCTTGGCTTATGACCACAATTGAGCCCCAAAATATTTGTTGCTAAGTGAAACATTTGTTAAGTGAATTTTGTCTCATTTTATGACTTTTTGTGCCACAGTTGATAAGCGAACCATTGCAGATGTCAACTTAATAATATGATTGTTAAGTGAATCTGGTTCTCCCTGTTGATTTTCCTTGTCAGAAGGTTGCAAAAGGGGATCCCATGACCCTGGGACACTGCCAACCGTCATAAATACGAGTCAGTTGCCAAGCATCCAGATTTTGATCACGTTCTGTTTATGGGATAAGGGAACATTGCAAAAGTGTGAAAAATGGTCATAAGTCACCTTTTTCAGTGCAGCTTTGAATGGTCACTAAATGAACTGTTGTAAGTCGAGGACAATCTGTATTTCGTAGAATTAAGGCTCCATTGAACCTAATTGTTGAAAGGGCATCGCATTTTCTCAACAAGAGATCTTCAAAGGCCTCCACATCAAAATTGAATTAAGGGCCAGCAGCAAACATCATGGAGGAAAGGATGGCTGTGAATCACCCTTTGCCCACGTATCTTCATGTATGCCTATTTATTCTCCATCACTGGCTGCCCATCCTGATGCAATCCAATTAGTGCAATCGATACATATAACAGATGCGTGGCAATTGGGGTGGAGGTGGAGACCCCAATTTAGTAGAAATTCCCCCCAAATTATAGGATAAAAATTAGTAAAAGAGCAAATCCAAGCAGCCAATGAGAATTGAGTTTGTGTGATGACCACTTTTGAGAATGACTCCCAGAAAGAGCAGAAAACATGAATTTGTAGACTGCTGGAAGTGAATATGATCATGATCAAAATCAAGTAAAGTACTAATACCACTCTATAGAGCCTTAGTAAGACCACACCTAGAGTACTGCATCCAGTTTTGGTCACCACATTATAAAAAAGATGCTGAGACTCTAGAAAAAGTGCAGAGAAGAGCAATCCGGATGATTAGGGGACTGGAGGCTAAAACATACAACGAACGGTTACAGGAACTGGGCTTGGCTAGTCTAGTAAAGAGAAGGACCAGGGGAGACATGATAGAGGTCTTCCAATATTTGAGGGGCTGCCACAGGGAGGAAGGGGTCAAGCTATTTTCTAAAGCACCTGTAGGACAGACAAGGAATAATGGATGGAAAGTGAACAAGGAGAGATTTAACCTGGAAATAAGGAGAAACTTTCTGACAATGAGAACAATCAACCCTCGGAAGTTGTGGGAGCGCCATCACTTGAGACCTTCAAGAAGAGATTGGACTGCCATTTGTCAGAAATGGTGTAGGGTCTCCCGCTTGGGTGGGGGGTTGGACTAGATGACTTATAAAGTCCCTGCCAACTCTGATTATCTATTATCTGTTACTTGGAGTCTAGAACCCGCACTTAAACTGCATCATTCATTTGCTCTTTTTAAAAATATTTTGATCATTTATTACCTCCCCCTCCCAATCCCAATTTCACAAGCTCAGATGGATGGATAAATATAAATGACAGAGAGACATAGAGACAATACCAGCAGATTATTCTTTTCCCAGCAGCAACCTTTTACCTTTTTATACCCTCCTATCCCTCCTTTATCTATAAATAGTGATCCTTCTTCTCCCATTTTCAAAAATACCCCCACTTGGTCTGTGCTTCCAAGAAACCATAAACAGTCAGTTCTTTCAAAAACACAGGCAACAATCCTGTAATGAGGCTTCCACTCCCTCACATCTTTCCCTGGGGAAAGATTATTGCATTCCTAAAGTGCTAATGTGGTGGTGGAGAGGGGGGAGATAGTAGTAGCAATCTAGCCTTGTTCCTGATACTTTGGGCTACTACTGGCATATCAGCCATTGGCTGGTTCCTGCCCCCTCCACTTGCCACATTTCTTCTATTCCTATCAAATGTGGCCTAGCCACAACTCTTGCTTTAGATGTGCTGGTTTCCAAGCAACTCTAATGGGGAGATGATAGAGGCAACATCTAATTTCTTGGTGTTGCTCATGGTGTTGTAGTGGTCCAATAGAGAAAGATGAGGTGCACTCCTCAAGAAAACTTTTGGGAGGAAACTCCCATTTTTAGCAGGGGTGGGATTCTACCAGTTCGCACCTATTCGCTAGAACCGGTTTTTAACATTCTAAGCAGTTTGGAGAACTGGTTGTTAGAAGAAATTACTGGCCTAATCCTGTAAGGAAGGCAGGAAGGAAACATTCTGGTGTTGCTTACAGAAACTGCCTCTCCGTTAACCCTTATTACATTCTTGGCAGGACTAGACTTCCTGTCTCCGGAACTTCTCTAGAGTTTTTTCCCCTCCTTCGCTGGTACTTTGCTTGTGTGGAGTGAACATTCAAAGTTACAATGGCACTGAAAAAAGTGACTTATGACCATTTTTCACACTTACGACTCTTGCAGCATCCCCACAGTCACGAGAGGCCAGGCGAGGAGATGCATGCCTCGATGTGATATTGAGTTGGCCGCACCCAGTCAATAACATGACCACCAAGCCACGCCCACCCAGTTACGTGACTACCAAGCCACGCCCACCAACTAAGCCATGCCCACAGAACCGGTTGTTAAACATTTTTGAATCCCACTCCTGATTTTTAGGCTGAGCTGAAGGGAGTCAGAAGTTCCAAGCTTGAACTTAATACGTAGGATTGATCTTTTTCTTTAATTGACACAAGAATCTCTCTTTCTCTCCCTATCCTCCCTCCCTCTCCTCCCTCCCTCCCCCCCTCTCTCTCTCCCTCCCCCCCTCCCTCTCCAATCATGTTCAACTTTCAGACCCCTTATGGACTAGGATAGCTTTACTCACCTTCATGTTTCACCTTGTGGGGCTTACCAATTACACCCTGCCAAAAAAGCAAATGGCTGTGTCACAGCAACCTTACAAAACTTGATTTACATTCTCTGCAAAGCAACTTTCCATTCTTTCCAGGATAACAAAACACCCTTGAAAGATGCTAAGAAGCTTACCCTGGACTAGGAAAGGAACAAAGAGATCATCCGTGGTTTCAGTAAAATCTATCCTAAAAAGCTTTCCACTTTATTTGTAAGAAAAGCAGTATAAAGTATTTACCCATTTTCTATCCTGCCCCTTTCTACAAACTATTGGCTTTTTAGTAAACGTTCCACATTATTTGACATTTTTGTTTAGTATTTCTTCTAACTTGCAAGTAATCCTCATTTATCAACTACCAGGTTCAGCAACTGTTGAAAATTATGACAGCGCTGAAAAGCATGCTTACAATTAGTCCTTGTATCTACAATTATTGCAGTGTCCCCCATGGTCACATAATCACAAATAGGGTGTTTTACAACCAACACATATTTATGACAGTCATAGCATCCCACAGTCATGATTGTCATTTGTGATCTTCCCAGCTGGCTTCCAGCAAGCCAAGTCAATGGGAAAGCCAGCAATTTTCCCATTAAAAAATGACATAAGGGATCATTTTATCATGCTTGAGGGACTTGTAAAAAAACATGCAAATTTTGAGTTCAGATACATACAGTGATACATAGGAAGAATTCCAAAGAACAAAATTTAAGTAGAAGCAGAATATCTTTGTTGAGATTAATGGTCAGCCAACTTTAAAAAAGGCATGGAAGATTATTTTTATATATGATCGTTGCTGTGAGACCACTGTATGTGTAAAACTGGACAGATTCTGAAGTCTTCCTCAAATGGAGGAATGGTTGGTGAAGATGATGGAATTAGCAGAGATGGCAAAACTAACTCATTTGCTTAGAGAAATATCACCTCCTGTATTTATTAGTGCCTGGAAATCCCTAATGGACTTTTTATTGAAAGAATAAAAAATTGAACTGATGATTTATGGATATGTTGATTAGAAAGGTAGAATATGTAAAGAAGAAAACTTCAATGTAACCATAGAGAGAGTAAAATATACATGTACTTATCAATGTAATACATTGAGCATGATTATAGGAGGTTTTATTTAATGACTGTGTCACTTACCAATGGAGGTGCAGGTCCCAATTGCAGTCAGTAAGTGAAAACTACCAATATTTTACAAATAATTTGTAGCACCCTTTTATTTTAAGACAAGCAAGCAACCTACCTAAAAACTGCAACTGGTTCAGAATGCAGCAACTCAAACAGCAATGGAGACCGCTAGTTTCATACATGTAACATTTCTGTTGTTTGGAATGCACTGACTTACTGGATGCAATTCAAGGTGCTGGTCATCACCTTTAAAATCCAGGTTATCCAGCCAGGTTATATGTGGGATCACTTTTCCCTAAGGACATCTATCTTGCCTAACTGATCAGAGTGGGCATGCTGCTAGCTAGTCCCTTCCACTAAATATCTGATGAAAGCTAAGAAGCCTTTTCCATGGCAGCCCCTGTCCTATGAATACTCTTCTCCCAGAAGTTCAGCAAACCTCCACCCTCTTAGCCTTCCATAAAACTTTGAAGATCTGGCTTTTCCCCAAAGTACATAGCTTGTCATAAGGTTTTCAGTGTTTTTAACATGCTTAGTTTTATAGTTGTTTATAGTTTTATTACGGTTTTTATGTTGTTCGAAGCCACCCAGAGAGGATTATAAAATGAACAGCGATATAAAAATTTAAAATAAACCAACATTGTCCACTTACAAAAATCTTACAACTGTCTGTAATTTAATGTAGTAAGTGAATATATGGAAGGTTGTAACAGCTGTCTCTGTACGCTGTTTTTACAGCTGCCTTCTGTAATACAGACATGTACAATTTCCATCCTTGTCAGTTAGAGAAAGCTGCTATGTAGCAGGGAAGTGGTATCCAGCAGATAATGTCATTGCCAGAAACTACACATTTCCCATTCTTGATAGACAAGACCTCTTTTCTTTCTCCAGCTGAGGACAAGAACTTCATCAGAAGAGAGCTGGAAAGAAGCAAACAGGACCACAGCAAAATAACTTATGGCTTAATAGGATGGCATGGAGGAATGACCTTGGGCGTTGCAGGATCCCATTCCTTCTGCTGAATCTGCAAAAAGAATGGAAACATGCAATAGTCCCAGAAAAGATGCTTCCTATTTTCTTGGAGTATAAAGGCAAGTGGGGATGAGATGTACTTTCAGACTTGCAAGATTCTACTAACATAACTTTACAATAAAGACAGAACTACTACTCCCGGGTATGCTTGTTGTCCGGACTACCTCACAAGGCCGACCCCTACGCTGAGAAGAAACAGAACCACCACTGAAACAGGATCACCACCCCACCACTCACACATATAATGCATAAGCATGTGCATGAACATTGAACTGAGCAGTCTGGTTGTTTAATTCCATCCCATATATAACACATGTGAAGCTTAATGGCCTTTTTGCCGCAGGAGTCCTTTTTCTGCTACTTTTCAAATTGTACAACCAAATCACTTCTGATGAAGGGAAAAAAACACAGACACATGCCTATTATGTCTCTTAAAAAGCTCACAAAAGAGTAAAGCAGCATTGTGCAGGAGGAAATAGCCTTGTGAAAGTTTTCCAATTCTTATTTGGAATTTAGTATGCGTGTGGGTGGTTTTATTTTGGAGGAGAAGTTACCATTTTAAAAGTCAACATGAAAGCTCCCATGGGAACAATTAAGAGCAATGCTACTTGACTTCTGGAGTCCAACATATAAATGCAAATATTTAAAAATCTTCCATCCCTCAAGAAAATGGTGTTTCCATGAAGAGGGGATAGGAATGTGCTGATAGCTGTCCCTGGCGATATGGCAACCAATCCACACAGCTTCCACACGTTTTTTAAACAGGATCCCTAACAGTAATAAACATATATAAGGATGGTCCACACAATAGATTACTTGAGTGCTGAGGAAACCAATTGTTTTCAATAATGGATATTTTTCTCCCACAAGACAAATGAATAACAATGAAGCATATTTCATGTCACAAAACAATACACAGAAAAAAGCCTCCTGAGACTCACAAATCCCAGCCAAGTCTCAAGAACAGATCTGAAGTATTCTGATCTGATGCCTATAAGCTGGGGTAGGAAACAGCTCTGCATCACATTCTTCATGATTCTAGACCATGCCTAACTCATTTTCCATTTTGTCTCCCCATTATATCTCTCCATATAGACAAATACCTTATATGTGAAGGTTGAGAGTTGGCCGTAAATACTAATAGAACGAAACAAATATGAAATTTGATGTTCTGGAATCTCACCAAGAATAGCTCCCCTGGATTCAAAATCACAAATAGCAGGAGAAGCAGCAATTGAGCTGTCATGCTGGTGTCCAGGGACAGATGAAATAGAAAGGTTTTGTTGACTGCTTTAGACAGAACAAACAGTTCCTGATCAATATATCTGAAAGCAAAGGTCTTTGGTTTAGGTTTACTCAGCAGGACGGAGATTGCACTATGGGGATAAACACCGAATCGTAAAAGTTGACTAGGGCCCAAATAAAAAAAGATTTAGTATATGTCTCCAATGGAACCATGCATATTATTTATGTGTCCCAGGCACTCTTCTATCAGCAGAAAATTGGCAAGAATTCCATATTGTGGGAATCCCAGCTACACCTGTATAAAAGATGCAGAGAGGCTTTGAAGCTGTATGTTTTCAGCAGTGGAAGCTTTCTTCTAGCGTTAGCACTGATGGTGTTACCTTATTTGGGTAATGAAATGACTGCCAAAAAATAAACAAGCTCAGAAAGCACCAAGGACCCCTCATTTCAACCTTGAGCTACAAATATTCTACTTCCATTAGGAGCTTTTTTTTCCTGACATTTCAATTATTGAAGGGGCCTGCTGGTCCAGGTTCTGATAATGAAAGATGTTGCTCACCTCTCCCTCCCATGTTACTGCATCTCCCCATAAACCACCCATAGGCTCCTCCTCTGTGGCTATTAAAAGCTCAATGGAAGGAAATGTGGAGTCCACATGGGAGCAAAGTCTTTTTGTCAAAGCCCGGTCCAAATCACACTCTCTTCTGCTCCCTCCCTCCCAGAATATGCCCATGATTAAGATGCTGAGAGTTTGGCTTGCAGATCAATACAATGTGTTGTTTAGCTCTTATTTTCCAAAGGTTATGCCTCCCTCCCTCAAAAAAACAGTCCCAGTTTCTCCTCAGGTTAAATTGCCAGGAGTGCCTTTACAAAGCATTCTGAGGACAAGAAAAGACATTCTCAATACTTTCAACAGCTACCAAATTGGTATTAGATTTTTTAGCTACCAGTCAAATTTCACATACCTCTTTTGTACAAAAATAAGCAGCAGCCATGTGGGATCTGACAGATTTCGGATACAAATGATGGTGCTGCAGTCAGAGAATAAAGATTCTAGCTGATAAGGGTTTTCTCTCAAACAACATAAGTGTGTTTCTTACAATAACAGCTTCCTCATGAGGGCCTTGGTTTCAATTATGGTTGGGATATTCAGCTTCACCTAATATACCATAAGTATTTATAGCCAGGAACATGTGGGCAAGTTCTTGTGTTTGTCCTGACCATAATGAGACATTTTCTGATCATGATTTTGACTTCTCGGAGGCCTTCCTTTTTGATTGAAAGACAATCTGGATAGAATGGTATTGTATGTGAGTTTCAAAATTAGCCAGTCCAGTCAGTTTATTAGGTTTGTAAATGTTCATTAGGCTCATTAGGTTTGTAAATGTTCTTCATTCATGAATCTAATTTTATGTTGCAATTTTGCACATCTTTTATAGGAAGTAAGTTCCACTGGATTGACAGGACTTTTCATTCTGTGTAGCCATGTATTGGAACATTCCCATATACAAATGTGTCTTTTGCATAACTGACATAATTCATGTTATATGCAAGAGAGCAGTATCCTGCCTTGAGCAAACAGATTGGAAACTTCATAGAGGAACAGCTGTAGCATCTGCTTCATTGGATGTGCCTCATGGACTGCTTTCCACAAACAGAATATGTGCCAGTGTGCATTTAATTTAGTTGTGCTTTTCTATGGCCGAAGCATATGCTGTGAAGGTATTCATTCTTATTGTATTTTTTAATTTATTGAACTGATTGACTGTGTTTGAGTGGGGCAATTTAGTCTAGTGATTAAAGCACCAGGCTAGAAACCAGGACACCATGAGTTCTAGTCCTGCCATATAAAAGCCAGCAAGGTGATTTTGGGTCAGTCATTTTCCCTTAGCCCAACTCACCTGACGGGGTTCTTATTGTTGTGGGGGAAATGGGAAGAGGAAGGTGTGCATTCAAATGCTTAAAGAGCTTTTAGAAGTTGCAGTTGGATGCAGAGTGCAGCAGTGCAGGCAGTTCTTAGGGCCACTAGAATGATCCCTGTTACATCACTGTGAAATGGAGTGATTGCTGGTCTGTTTCTAGGTACACTTCAAGATGTTGGTCATCACCTTTAAAGCCCTGCATGGCATGGGTCCAGACTGCCTGAGGAACTGTCTCACCCCAATGGGACTGACCCATCCCACCTGTGCCACCAGAAGGGGCAAACTGTGGATCGCATCATCCAAGGAATTTTGGCTGGCAGGATCTAGAAGAGCCTTCTCTGCCATGATTCCTGCCCTCTGGAACATCTTACCCCCTGGGGTGAAATTGGCTCCTACCCTCCTGAAGTATCACAGGACCTTAAAACTTGGTTCTGCCAGATGGCTTGGGGACCCATTGGGGGAGCTTCATATTGGAAGTGGTTGACTAATTAAAATTCAACCCTACCTCCCCTCCCCCCAATGTGTCTGGCTCCCTTCTTTGCCCTCTTGTGTCCACAATTTTAACTCTTAATATTTTTTGTCTGCTGTGTTTTTATAATGGATGACTTTAATGTTTTTCAATGTTTTTATGTTGTAAGGTGTCCAGAGTCATTGGATGCAAGATGGGTGGTAAATAAGTAAGTCAATAAATAAATATGGTATGTAGGATAGGTTCACCGGCTTGAGTTGTTTGTAAAAATAATAAAGGCACACTACAAATAAATAAATAAGATAAACAGAAATAAGAAAGAAACCGGTTCTGTAGAGATGCCATAGAGCATGGTAGTGTCTACCGAATTAAAAAAAAAGTTACCTCAGGCATGGAAGTTGAGTTTGGACTTTTGAACCTCATTAATTTCAGTGAAATCATTAGCTTTATTTATGGAGGGATCTCACAAATTCATTCATCATTTTAAGGTTGCAGTGTCACAAAGCTTGAGGAATAGTGCCTGGGGCATCCTCAGCATTGACAGACTCTGCAAGATGTTTTTATGTTTTGCACAAGGAAATGGGAAGAAACCATGTAACTATTTAGGAAAGGAGTATGCAATTTTGTTGGAGCTGGAGATGTTATCTAGCCAGTCCAGTCCAGAGCAGGAATAATAACTTGATGGAAGCTGATTTATTTAGGCAGAGGGAGGAAGATGTCCCTTTTTGGTTTAATGTTAATTGTATTGAAAATAGTGGGATGTAAAGCATCTAAATCAACCACTGAAACTTCTATTGATTCATTTTTGATAGACTTTGATATGTATTTTATTATAGAGGATTTTTTTCATTTTTTTATGAGTAAATATACTCTACCTACTTAATTCAGTAAAGCATTGGACACAAAAGCACTAACTAAACCGGTGTATTGCTGTAAATTTAGGATTGCACTTATTGCCTCAAACTACCAACACATCTACTGCATTAGCAATATTTTAAATAAAAAGGAAAATAAAGAGAAAAAACATTCTCTGTAAAAACCAACCATACTCTGGAAGGATATCAAGTTGTTTCTCCTTATGCCTTCAGTTTTCTGAATAAAGCAACTTGAAGCTAAAATTTCTTTCTTTCTTTTTAATCTTTATGTGGAATATTGTTTTTCTGTTTTACTTTCAAAGATGACTGCATTTCTCAAGGACTTCAATTTAAAGCAATTCTAAATTTGTGATAACAAAACTATAAGAAAGGTCAATCCTGTATAAAATGTTAGGGGCTTAAGATATTCAGAAGAATTATACTCTTACGGTTGCTATGATTCACTTGCTGTGTTGAAATAATCCAGTTTCTTTAAAAGTCCTAAATACTTTTGTATTTCTTATTTTATAGGATTAATGTGATGAATAATTATCAGAACCAATTATTGCCTAATTTATTTACTACCTGACTTTTGTTTTTGTGTAGAAATCTGGGGGCTACACTCCCCAAAAGCTGGGAGAGGACATAAAAATGATTCCATTTCATTTGAATTTAAATTAACCAGCTACAACTGATATGATTATTAGATACATGAGATTAAGATTCCTTTTCTGCCCCATTACAAAAAACTACAGTTTGATAATAGCTTTTAGATTGGGTCTGAGAACTACATCCAAGAATTTTAAAAATTATCCTGAGGTTCTGTATTTTAGTGTCCTTAATGGATGTGCTCCATTTGTAGTATCCAGAAGGTACTGTTGAAGAAGTAGGACTATTTGTATATCATCACACTTTATCCATATAAATCTCACATTATAAGAAGTCTGTATTATAAACCATTTAAACATCAGTGGACAATGCTGGTTGTGTGTAGCCTTCTTAACAGTTGCAAATGGAAAGCTTTATATTTTCTCCAGATCTTCTTCTCCAGGTGGATATTGATCAAGATTCTGTAAAAGACCAGGTTTGGACATATGTCCAGATCTGGCAATGGTAAGAACTGAAGAAACCATGCTGTGCCAGTGTAACCAGGACCCCCTGAATGGGGCCTTTTAATCAAGTAGCTGAGAATAATCTTTTTTATAGCTTGCATGCTGTTGTAGCTCTTGATGCTTCAGCTGTTAGGCTGGGAAATGTATTAGGAGATGATAACATGTAATAAATTAATCCAAATCATTCAAGGTATGTCCAAAGCTGATTTGTACAGATTATTATTTATTTATCTCCCAATCTTCTGGACTTTGAGCCAAACTCATGCACAATTATATAAATAGAAAGTAACAATCCTAACAATTGCAATGTTTCCAGTCTTTCCTTGCCTCATGTTATTCCTGAATTCTGAGTCTTGCCTGCCAAAGCTTCTCCTTGTCAAGCTTTTGTTAACCATAATCTGTTGAATAAATTATAATGGCTGAATTCACACACTACACAAAAATGCTATAAAATTTAGAAAGCGCAATGCTAACTTGAACAGCACAGTAACCCAAACCAAATTATGTTATGGTTCAGCACAATACATGAACTCTACAATTAGAATCACAACAGGCACAATTTTGTGTTGTTTCCAAAACCATTATTTTCTGTGGTCATCTGTATTAAGATGAAAGAACTAGTCAGCAACCATGTTCTGGTCATTAGATGGCAGCAAAAGGGAACAATTCTAACCCAGATTATTGCAACATGAATCTGATTTCTCTAGTCTGGATTCCTGGTTTATTTTTATTTTCTGTCCTCTTCTTTAGACCAGTCTTTGCTCCCATTGCTTCCGACTGATTGTTCTTGGGCTACAGTTCTTATCAGATCTTGAAAGGACATTCTAATCTATCCTTCAACCATCATTGTCCATTGGAGCACTGTTTGGGACAATGGGAACTATAGAACAAACACTGCAGTGAAGACAAGATTGGGAGATACAGCTTCATCCATTCCCCTATATCTTAACTTAAACAAGGCCATGATATAGGCTGGGCTAATGATGCATCATGCCAGTCAAGGCAAGCATTAAATCAATAACTCAGGGATAAGATTTTTCTTTCCTTCTTTCTCTCAATCTTTCTCTCTGGCCAAGAGGAGCTTATAACTTAAATTACAGTAAGGGGAAGACACCTCTTTCACCTAGCTATCAGAAAGAAGCCATAGACTAAGTTCAGTCTTTAAGAATTATGCTCCTTCTACGGCGTTCCCCTGTGCTATTAGCAATTTCACCTGGCTCCATAAGATTTTGGCTGACTGTGCCACAGCATAGTAGCTTCCAATCAGCAGACTTCATGTTAAAATAGTATACCAGGGGGTCAAGAGCACTGTTAATACTAGCAAGGGCCATAGCTGCACGCTGGGCTGAGCAAGTGAAGTGCAGCATTCCTGGAGCTGAAAGAACGCCAATACGGCCCAGGGTGTGTAGCACATGGATGGTATGAAAAGGGAGAAAACAGAAGATGAGAAGGCTCATCACCATCAAGAGGGTTTGAAGGGAATGCCTACGCAATGAAGATGACTGCATTGTCCCATGGCCCAGATTCATAATTCGGTAGGCAATCACAATGGAACAGATAACGATAGTAAGGAAAGGCAGGAAGAAGCCCAGGGCTGAGGAAAATAGGATCATGGCTGCCAGACTTCCACTCCAAACTTGGGCTGGGAAGTTTTCCATGCAGGCGGTGTTTCCATTGGAGAAGCGATGAGTCACAGTGCTCTTGGAGAAGAAGATCAGCAATCCAATCCCTACCAAAGACCAGATAGCCATGGAGAGCAGCACCCGATACAGAGGCCATTTGAGGCGCAGGTAGAAGACAGGATGGAGGACAGCCACATAACGCTCCAGGCAGATGCAGGCCAGGAAAAGGGTGCAGCAGAACATGTTGGCCAGGAAGAGGGCATTGGTGACCTTGCACAGGCCTTCCCCAAAGGGCCAGTCATTGTGTCTGGCATGATACACTGCCTGTGATGGCAGCGACAGGGCAAAGAGCAGGTCAATGATAATCAGGTTGTAGATGAAGATCATGATGGGTGGAGCCTGGGCTCGGTAGACCCAAGAGCTCCATAAGGCCACGCCATTTGAGGCCAGGCTCAGGACGCAAACCAGGCCGTAAACGATGGGTAATAGTAAGTGCTGGAATGCTGCTTCAGCCACACACTGCAAATGTGCTGAGTTGTTAGGCATTTCCCCCAAAGGGAAAGCTGTATCTGTGCCATTCCTCCACATCTGCAAAACAAAAATAAGACTTGCATTTTAGTTTAACCCAGAGCGAAACACCAATCACAGCAGTCCTCCTGTGAAGTGGAAACTCTGAGGCTGGAGTATTTCCATTGCTCTGCTGGCTGCATGCAGCTGCAAGGGCAGACATATGGGTAAAGAAAGACTGGACTGCCCACATTCTTTAGGGTTTCTTTCTTAAGGGCCTACCCACTTGGCCTGGTCTCCACAGATGCCTACTGACTATTTCTGAAGAACACGAATGCCCAGCATCTTTCTCAGACTTGTTTTCTGACCCACCGCGAAAGCAGCCTTGTTCTGGTTTTTCTCTCCCAACTTCAAAAGGGGTGTTTTTCAACTTCCACCAGCACAAGCCCTGCCAGGTGTCCGTCTAAAGCCAACTATTCTGAGGTAAGTTTAGGGTTACGGTCTGTCCTGATCCTATTTCTCCTCTGAGGCTACTGCGAACATGGCATCCCTTCTGGCTGCTGGCCACTCATTTTTAGCAGCAGGAGAGTCAGGGCTGTCCCATTGGACCCAAAAGCCACCTCGCTGGCTTCTTTTCCCAGCCCATGGGAAGCAGATGAAGCAGGGGAAGAAAGAGTTGCAGGGTGGGGAGAGGCATTTCTGCCGGCAACGAAAAGACCCATTTTTGCCTATGAAGTTGCTAGGGAGATGCTTCCCTTCAGTGGTGGGATTCAAAAAACTTTTTATACTGCTCCTGTGGGCATGGCTTGGTGGGCGTGGCAGGGGAAGGATACTGGAGAATCTCCAGCCAGAGGTGGTGTTTGCCAGTTCTCCAAACTTCTCAAAATTTCGGCTATCGGTTCTCCAGAACTGGTCAGAACCTGCTGAAGACCACCTCAGGTCCCCTTGCTTCCATTCCCAAGCAAGTCGGTGAAAAGGGCGCTTCTGCCCACAATCCTTCCATAATGCCATGGCAACTTTCCCACAGGGGTGTCAGCAAAAAAGCTGAAGCTTGAAGACTCTCACTGGACCTGTGGCTCTACTAGGGGGCGTGGCAGATGCATGGTCCCTTCAGACCAATTGGGAAAGCAGCTCTTTAGCTGCCAGTTCATGGAGCGGTGGGAGTCTGTGTGGTGCCAGGGGCAGGAAAACAAAACAAAAAAACCAAAAAAAACCACCCCTCCTTCTCCTCCTTTGCTTTATCTGCCCCTCTGGCTGGCAGGAGAAGTAGAAGAGAATGGCTCTTTCACTGCCAGTCCCCCAGTTCTAGATTGATTGCCCTATGGCAACGTTTCTCAACTTAAGAGATAACAGATAATCACAGTTGGAAGGAACCTTGTAGGTCATCTAGTCCAACCCCCCACCCAAGCGAGAGACCCTACACCATTTCTGACAAATGGCAGTCCAATCTCTTCTTGAAAGTCTCAAGTGATGGAGCTCCCACAACTTCCGAGGGCAAGCTGTTCCATTGGTTGATTGTTCTCACTGTCAGAAAGTTTCTCCTTATTTCTAGGCTAAATCTCTCCTTGTTCAGTTTCCATCCATCATTCCTTGTCTGGCCTTCGGGTACTTTAGAAAATAGTTTGACTCCTTCCTCTCTGTGGCAGCCCCTCAAATATTGGAACATTGGAACTTCAGCCATTTTAAGCATGCTGGCTGGGAATTCTTAAGGCTGGGAAACCATTGCCCTGTGAGATTGGAGACATTGCAGCAGAATTCCCATAGATCTTCTGCCGCCAGCAATTGGCATCAAAGGTGGCGTTTCCCACCCACTTCTCTTCTTTCCTTCGCACTTGTGCTGCAGACTGACGCTCTCCTCTGCTGCATTGCTAAGGCAAAATAGGCATGTAATCAGCACTTCTTCAAACCGATATGGTTTTGCCTTGAATAATAACACTTCGGTATGGTGGAACATTGAAATGTTTTCTTTCCATCATCAACTGAAGGAAGCAATTCATATCAACCATTCAGCTATTCGTCCTTTCTGCCACCAGATACGGGCACTGCCAATAAATGGTTTCAGTTCTGGCACAGAAGTTACTAAACTTGGCAGCATCCAAAATGGATGTCAAATCTAGAATTCTGAGGAAAAGATGATGGCGGGAGTCTGGGAATTGAACTTTTCCTTCCTAGAAGATGCTCAGGTTGCCGTGGCAAAAATCCTCATGCTTTTCAGCCTATCCCTCCTCCCTTTACAATCTCCATCAACAGGCCTAAAATTGCACTTTAAGTCCAGGAGGACAGGATATGCAGACTACTAGAAAAGGACATATTTTCCCTACAGGATGCATATTCTCCTGGATTGACATGATTCTAAGAAAACAGCATATCTCAAGGATTCATAACAGTTGAGAGAAACATTTTATTAAGCTGGTTGTGTGAGGGGCTAAAGCAAACTTCAGAACTGGATGGTGGGGGAAGCATCTGTTTCATTTGGTCCTGTTGCCAGCTTCCCTCCCAAGCACCCTTGCCAGCTCATTTCCTCTCTGCTTTCCACACTTCCTGCTGAAGCTTCTCATGCCCCTAACTTCTGTCATGAAAGGAAGCGCTCACCATACCCCAGAGAAATTAGCTGGCTGAGAAAGATTGCAACATTTCTTACTCAAAGATGAGAATCAGTCTAGCGTCTCTTAATTTTTTTCCTTACATATGCTGCATTTTTTATTAAACTGAACCACGCTAAAATTTCATTTGCAAATGAAAGGCAGAGCACTCTATAACTAATGTAGGAATGGCTCAGAAAGTGGGAGCATGTTGCCATATTCCTTCCCACATTAATTAGCAAATAGTTTTCATTTTAATCTGCCTTTCCAACATCTCTAAGGATTTGTTTAAGAAGCTACACAGTTGTATTAAGGATGGTATTGATTCTTTGTCAAGATCTTGGTCTTTATTTTCAAACCAGCCACCTTTCCATATGTCAATTAAGACAAAAGGAAGAACTGGCAGACCTACTGAAAATTCAGGTCACGAACAAGATCAAGTACTTGGGGATATATTTGACAGTACCGTTAAAAGAGAATAATTATATCAAACTTAAACAGCACATAGCACTAGATCTGGCAAAATGGGAAAATTTACAACTATCACTAATAGGGAGAATTTCAACAATCAAGATGAATATATTACCCAGAATTTTATACTTGTTTCAAACAATTCCAATTAGGCTTGGAAAAGACTACTTTGAAGATCTAAATAAAATTGTGTTGAAATATATATGGCAAGGTAAGAAAGTGAGAATAAAGTTAAAACTTTTGCAAGATGCTAGAATTAGAGGAGGATTTGCTTTGCCTAATTGGGAGTTGTACTATCAAGCTACAAATCTGATGTGGGTTAAGGAATGGATAACACTAAGAAATACTAGATTGTTGACATTAGAAGGACACGATTTGTTGTTGGGGTGGCATGCTTTTTTATGGTATAAAGGAACTAAAACACAGCGGTATTTTAGAAGACATTATATACGGGAGTCTCTGTGGTTAAACTGGGAGAAGATTAAAAGACAATGTTATTTGAAAATTCCAGTCTGGTAATCAACTATTGAAGCATTTTCTTATCCTATAATATAAAAAAAGGAAAAAACAGTTAGATATGGTGAAATATTGAATGAAAAGGTTGAACTCAAATCTATACAAAAACTAGAGGAACAAGGTATAAAGATGAATTGGTTTTCATATGCGCAAATACATTCAAGGTATGATAAAGATTCTAAAATGTAAGGTTTCTATGATAAATTGACTGATTTAGGTAAGATTTTGACAGGCACTGATGAAAAGGTGATTTAAAAGCTGTATGGATATTTATTAGAAATTAAATTAGAAGAAGAACAAGTTAAAGAAACTATGATTGCTTGGGGGGAGAATTTTGGATATGGGATCGATTTAGAGAAATGGCAAAAATTGTGGTCTCAAAATTATAAAATGACAATGTCAACAGCATATAAAGAAAATTTGTATAAGATGTTTTACAGGTGGCATTTTCCCCCAACAAGAAGAGCAAAAATGTTCAAGAATAAATCTGAAAAATGTTGGAAATGTCATCAGACACCTGGCTCATATTACCATATGTGGTGGACATGTGCAGATGCTAAAAAATACTGGACTAAAATTCACACGTGGTTGGAAAAAATGACAAAAAAACATATAGACTTGAAACCAGAGATATTTTTATTGGGAATTTTACCTGAAATATATAGTAAAGACTTGAAATACCTGATTGTAAATGTATTAACAGCGGCTAGGATGGTATTTGCTAAAAACTGGAAAAATGAGAACATACCATCACAGGAGGAAATCATTAAGAAAATATTGGAATGTGCTGAAATGAATAGATTGACATTTGAAATTAGAGAACAAGAGGATAAACAATTTTATAAAATTTGGGATCTTTTCTATCAATGGTTAGACAATAAAATACAGTAATGAAATATGTAGACTTTTAGAAAATAATAAATATATAAAGATGTACTTCTTTCTTATTATATCTACAAAATGATTTTAGGATAGATTTGGGATGATAATGTGAACTGTTATAAAATAAACTAAGTAAATTATGATTATCTTGTAAAACATGAATGAATAAAAGTATAGTCAAATGATTGATTAATAATGATACTAAGGTATTTAATTTTTGATTGAAAATATGAGATTATATGCAATGTAATTGTAATTGAAGACTATGAAATGGAAGCACAAAACAATTTGTAAACCAACCAGCACACTGTATGTACACATATGGGAGATAGCTTGATGTTTTTATGTTTTGTTTATGTTTGTTTTTAAAAACCAATAATTTTTTTTTAAAAAGAATGGTATCGATTTATCTAAATATATATAATCCCCCCCCATTTTTTTTAATATTCTTATGGCTATTATCTCAGGGAGGCAATTACAAATTGCATTCAACAGAGTAAAAAGTGCACAAACAATTAGAAACCTGAATTTTTCCTATTTAATTTTTTCAATTAAAGGTTTACTTCCAATGTAGGACTCTTTGAAATT